GCACTTTTGGAGGCTGAGACCAGTGGATCATTTGAGCCCAGGAGTTTGAGATGACTCAGGAGCCTGAGCAACATGGTAAAACCCCATCTCTACAGAAAAAAAAAAAAAAAAAAAAATACAAAAAGCTTAGCCGGGCATGGTGGTGCACACCTGTAATCCCAGTTACTTGGGAGACTGAGGCAGGAATCAAGAAACAGAGGTTGCAGTGAGCTAAGACCACACCACTACACTCCAGCGTGGGCAACAGAGCCAGACTTGGTCTCAAAAAAAGGGCGGGGGGTGTTGCATATATTTACCACAAATTGAACAGTATTTAAGTGAAAAACAAATACAGAAGTCCTCCTTATCCTCAGTTTCACTTTCCACAGTTTCAGTTACCCACGGTCAACTGAGGTCTGAAAATATCAAGTGGAAAATTCCAGAAATACATAATACATAAATGTTAATTTGCACGCTGTTTCTGAGCGGCATGATGAAATCCTGAGCGGTCCCACTGGAATCACTTCTTTGTCCAGTGTTTCCGTTGCGCTGTGTCCAAACCACCTGTGAGTTGCTCAGCAGCCGTCCCGCCCATCAGATCCGCTGAATCGCAGTGCTTGGGTTCCAGTCACCCTTACTCTACCTAATAATGGTTCCAAAGTGCAAGAGTAGTGATGCTGATAGTTCTGATTTGCCAAAGAGAAGATGTAAAGCGATTCCTTTAGGTGAAAAGGTAGAAGTTCTCAACTTGAAAAGGAAAGAAAAAATATTGTATGCTGAGGTTACTGGGATCTAAAATAAAAATAAATCTTCTATCCGTGAAATTGGGAAGAAGAAAAAAAAAGTGTGCTTGTTTTGCTGTCACGTATCACCTTTATCATAGGTCTGTATATTTAGGAAAAGTATAGGATATATAGGGTTTATTACTATTCTCAGTTTCAGACATCCATCATGAGTCTTGGAACATTTTGACTTAGGATAAGCGGGGGGCCACTGTAACTTAAGTGTACGTTTATGTAACTTTTTGTTTGTTTGGTTTTTTGTTTGTTTTTTTAGACGGAGTCTCGCTCTGTCGCCCAGGCTGGAGTGCAGTGGCCGGATCTCGGCTCACTGCAAGCTCCGCCTCCCGGGTTCCCGCCATTCTCCTGCCTCAGCCTCCCGAGTAGCTGGGACTACAGGTGCCCGCCAGCACGCCTGGCTAATTTTTTTGTATTTTTTATTAGAGACGGAGTTTCACCGTGTTAGCCAGGATGGTTTCGATCTCCTGACCCCTTGAGCCACTGCACCCGGCCTATGTAATGTATTTTTAATAATGGTTGTATCTAAAGCCAGTTCACAGAATTCCTGAAAGCTTAACAACCATCCATTGCAAGCTGGCACCAGCCACTCCAAAGAACGATCACTTAACTCTTTTTCCTTCTCCAAGAGGCCTTACTTTAACCCTCCCAGAACACGGTGATATTGACAATGTCTTCATGGTTTCACCATACTAGGTTGTGGTGGAAACAGTTAAACTAAGGTCCATCGGATTCTGCAACCATGCTATGCCCACCTCAGTACAATACTTCCCCAAAAGTAGTTACTTTGTGAGATCTGTCCTGAGACTGCAAAGCAAAGGAGTCTCTGGGCAAATGGTGCTGATTACACCTTATGACCACCAGGTGGCGAGCATGCCGGGCTTCTCCAAGAGTAAACTGGAGATGGGGAAGACTTCAAACAACTGTTTGGGTTCTCTTGTTTGACAGGTAGAGAACTTTCCCTAGCATTTTAGAATATTTGTGTACTTCATTAGGAGGGTAAATTCCCACTTTCCCTCTAATTTTTCATACTATAATAATAGTAGTAACTGCAGCTGTGCATTAAGAAGCATGCCTTGAAGTTCATCAATTCATTTATTCCACACATGAATTTTCATGAAGTATAAATAAGCACTTCTAACTTCTCCAGATGGGGAAATTCATTCACTCCTCAATCCATTTGTTTATTTCTAAACATTTATTAAGCACTTGCCATGATCCTGCCCATAGTATGAACAGAATCAAGATTCAATCTTAACAAATTCAGCTCCAAAGCTCACCCTCCTTTAAATATCACAAATACTTGAGTTATTACTGCTTTATTAAATAAGGCCCCCAGATTTTAAGAAACTTGCTGGAATTATCTGAATTACCATCAAAGCCGTAAAATGGTAAACAAGTTACTTTGCTTGTTCAATCCAGTTTCTTTCACTTGCAAAGTTCTTTAAGTCCACCTTGACTTCTTACTTTGAAGGATTGCGGTTAGCTAAGCAATGATTAAGGGAAGCTCATGGTATCAACACTTGCCAGTCGGCATATTTGATGCGGCTGAAAGCCCTGTGGATTTTTGTACCTATTGCTGATATTATCCTACAAAGACATCTTAAAAGGGAGGGAGGAATTCACAGAATCTTTATGTTACAAAATCTTTATGAGAACAGGAAGAGGGACATGAGCTAGCACATTAGCACAGTCAGCCTCCTCGCCACTTAGTGTCCCGCACTATCTTAGCAATCCTCAGAGTCCCCGCCAGCAAGAAGGCTCTCATTACATGCGCCGCTTTGTTCTTGGGCTTACTTAATTTCAAGTATTCTGTGTTAAGCAACAGAAAATGAACTGACACCACCTGAGGACTTTTGCCCTTGCCATTTTCCTCTGTCAGGAATCCCTTTCCCAAGATATCCACATGACATGCTCCCTGGCTGTCCTCAGGCCTCTGATTTCATCCCCTAACCACAGATGCCTCCTCAGACCAGCCTAAAACACAGTAGCCCCGGCTCCTACTCTCCGTGCCCTGCTGTCCTCCAATCTGCTTTATTTTCTGTATAGCGCTTGTCATCACCTGTGAATGTTTATTTATACTTTTGTTTATGTATTTCCTAGCTCCTGCCACTGGAATGTAAGTTTCATGGGAATAGCAACTTTATTTGTTGGTATTATACTCCCAACACCTACATCAATACATATATTAAAAATGAGTCCATGCCTGACACATACTATGTGCTCAATAGTAAATCAATGAAATGAAAGAAGACAGATGTCCTATTCTACACTCGCAACCCCTGAAGCAAACTGGATAGTTATCTTGAAAACCATAAATGGAATTTTCCTATTAAATTACAGGAACTCAGTCTCTTTATTGAATTCTTTTTCCGGTGAATTGAATTGATCCCCAATAGATATAGTGAAAAAAGACCTCTTGGAAAGCCAGCATCTAGTTTTGCAGGAAAAGTCATCAACCCAGGCAACAAGATGGTCCACCAGGGAGCTCTGGAGGTGAAGCCAATAAACAATAACATGAAAGGAAATTAATTTTATGTTTTCTAATTTTGTGCCTTAAGCAAGCATCATGTGGCCTAAGCTTTTTTGTGATTTCCTTGAAATAGTCAAAGATCTAATGTTAAATAGACTGCTGCTGTTGTTGAAGGACATCCTGGGTCATATTTTGGGTTTTCACAATGCCAAGGACATCAATTATTTCTGTATGCAATCAGCGTACGGAATTCATAAAAAGAAGTGAATCCTACCTATTTCAAAAGTGTTTTTCAAAAATGAAAACAGAAAGGAAGAATGGTAATTTTATTCTTATTCTTTGGAGTAATTATTTTAGATATGGAAGAGCCATTAAAATCATACAGACCAGTTTGTGCTGTGTTGCATAGTGTTGTGTTGTGTTGTGTTGTGTTGTGTTGTGCCAGTTGGACTTTTCACCAAGAGGAATCTAAAGAGGAGGTGCAGTGGAAAGTGGGCTGAAGTTAAGCCCTTAATGACATGGGGTGGCGAACCAGTAACCAGTCCCCCTGCGTCCAGGCACCAAAGGACTTTCAGGGGAGAGCGTAGGGGGTTCTTCAGCACATGGTTAAAAATCACTGATTTAGTCCAACCTCCCTGTCTCACAGATGAAGAAAGCAAAGGAGGCTCAGTGAGAAGCCACCCAGCCAGTATTCAGTGGAGGTTTAAGTCTCCTGTAACAAGAGATAGACATTTTCTCACTGATTCCCCAACAGCCTTATAAAATAGCATTTATTACACCACGCCCATTTTTAGAGATAATCAAACATTGCTTTTCCAAGGAGCCTTCTTCTGACAACCCAGACTAACTTACGTCTCCCACATATTCATTTAATACTTTGTCCTTCTCTACTTGAAATCCTTATCAGATTGTTCATGATGCCTTCAGTGCAGGTCTACCCGCTAAGGTATAAACCCTATGGCAACAGGCTCAGTGCCAGCCATCTTCACGGTCACATCGCCAGAGCCAGAAGCTTGACATGTAAACACCCCAGCTAGGAGCACCTTGACAGGAAGGATCGAATTGTATTTGTCTTTTTACCCCAGTGCCTGGTACTGTGTTTAGCTCAGAGTAGAAGCTCAATAATTACATTGAGTCGAATTATGGAAATAAAACAACCTAAAGTTCAGACAAATCTGCTCCAGGCTCCACTTGGGCTTTTTCTAGGGTTAATTGGCCTTGAGAAGTTATCCCACGTAGTTTGTCCTTAGTTTTTTTCATCCATAACATAAAGAAGTTGGATTCTGGGGGTCTTCAGAAATTATTCAATTTTGAAAAATCTGTGATGCTATTTTCCTCTGCTTGGAAATACCCCATGAAGGTGGTAGGCAGGAAATTGAATTGTGTATGTACACACACATACACACATTAAGTTTAAACAGGAATCAGTGGTTTCAAGGGGACCATAAGAGTCACAGGACGTGCAATGAAATCTTCATTCTACGATTTACTCGCTGGGTGAGTGCAGGTGAGATATTTAACTTCCCTGTGTGTCAGTTTCTTCATTAACAGAACAAGGCTGAGGATTTAATAAGACCACATAACTAAAGTGTTTGGTATTATTCTGGGTATCTCATATGATCTCAACAAATATTAACTGACATTATCACCAATATTATTACAAATCAAAATGAATTTCATGTAAGTGTGTATAAAATCAATGCTTGATGACATTTTCCATAAATTCACTGGTATTCCTTCTTATGTTTTAGGAGACACATCCATAAGAAAGAACAAGGTAGGATAAATCATGAAAATGCATTTGTTATTCATTATTTACTTTAGAAGCCTAGAGATATAGACAATGCAAAATTTCAGATATCTCTTAAAAAATATATCGTATAAGTCTGGTCACAATTTGTAATTTCTATTTGTAAATCAAAAAACTGTTAACCATTGGCCCTGCTCATAGAACAATAAACTTAATTTAGGTTTCTCTTTTCTTTTTCAGATTCCTTTACCACCTCCTCGGTAAGACACTTTAAAATAGCATTTTATTTCGCTATACACTGAAATAATTTGTGCCAGCATCTGAAAAAGAGAAACACAAACATTTGACATTGAAAATCTAATATGATTTCAGAGTGAGAGCTGGATATAGAAAAAAAAACTAATATGAGGTATTCAATGAACAAGATTAAACAAGCCTTCATTCATCTATTTAATCATTTATTCATTCATTCACAGTTATCTATTCAATATACCTTCACTCATTATTTCTTGATGAATGTATTCCTCCCCTGTTTCTTTCTATTCCTCTCCTTTCTTTCAGTACAGAAATCTGCTGGATGATATTGCTGGGTATACTACTGGCAGGCCTAGATTCATATGAAAATGGGATATGCCCTCAGGGAACTTACAACATATTAAGTGTATATTCATGTGATATATATATATACACACACATATATGATACATATATAAATACTATTACATTTACACATATCTGTGGAGAAAAGAGCAACAGGCAGCTGCAGAGGCTCTGAGTGACTGGCCACTCTTGTTGCTCTATCTGGGACCCCTGAGCACCTCTGCCATAGCATGCATTACATACTCTACCAATCATTTCTTCACCTCTCTGTCTTCCCTGCTAGAGGGAAGCAGCTTGAACCAAAAATCTACCAAAATACCTGATATACTTTATGAACAAATGAGTGAATGGGTGAATAAAATATGAGTGAGTGAGGCATTCACTGACTTTCAAACATTTACATATATATATGTGTGTGTGTGTGTGTGTGTGTGTGTATATATATATATATATATTTTTTTTTTTTTTTTGAGACAGTCTGGCTCTGTTGCCCAGGCTGGAGTAGAGTAGGGTGATCTCAGCTCACTGCAACCTCTGCCTCCAGGGCTCAAGTGATTCTCCTGCCTCAGTCTTGTGAGTAGCTGGGATTACAGGTGCATGCCACCGTGACTGGCTAATTTTTGTTTTTCAGTAGAAACGGACTTTTGCCATGTTGGCCAGGCTGGTCTTGAATTTTTGACCTCAGGTGATCCACCCACCTCAGCCCCCAGAGTGCTGGGGTTACAGGCGTGAGCCACCGTGCCCAGCCACTTTTTAAAATATTTATTTGGGTAGTACTAAAAACTCAGATCTGCCGGTCTGGGATGAATGGAAGGCTGTTATCATTTTCTCCACAGGTCTCCTAAAGCCAAAACAGTCGCACTATGGAGGAGCACGTTGACTCCCTATAGAAAATTATATCACGCCCTTTAGAAAACAGTGCCAGACCTGACCAGTCTGCTCTGTAGTTAGCATCCAAAAACTAGCATTTTCAACCCAAAGCTGGGGACACAGAGGGCAGAGCAGTGTGGATTCAGGCCTGAGGCATCACTGCTGCAGCAAACCTTCTCAGGAATCCTACTGCGACTCTCCACACAGGCCTCTCATCACACTTCCGAAGCAGTACCAGCCCTTGCCCCCTGAGCCGGAGAGCAGCAGGCCACCTTTAGCTCAGAGACACACCTTTCCGGAAGTCCAGAGAATGCCCAGGTGAGAGAGTCATCATTAATGGTGAAATGACCAGCAAGAGTGTGGGTGTGGGGAAGGGGACAAGGAAAACCAACCAAAGTACCTGTCAGAGCAGGCTCTCTAATGGGTGGGGAGTGTTTTGGTCCATTCAAAGACATAACCAAGACTGGGTAATTTATAAAGAAAAAAGTTTTAATTGACCCACAGTTTCACATGGCTGGGAAGCCTCACGAAACTGACAACCATGGTGGAGGGGGAAGCAGGCATGTCTTAGGTGGCAGCAGGTGACAGAGCCTGTGTCCAAAGCAAATGGAGAAAAGCCCCTTATAAAACCATCAGATCTCATGAGAACACATGCAGTAACATGAGAACAGCATAAGGGAAACCGCCGCATGATCCAGTCACCTCCCACCAGGTCTCTGCCTCAACACCTGGGGATTACAATTAAAGATGAGCTTTGGGTGGGGACACAAAGTCTAACCACGTCAGGGAGGAACCAGTTATACCTAGAGGAAAATAGTCCTAGAAACCTGTGTTTTGATTCTTTGCAGGAAATACCGCTTCTCTGTAAGAAAATGAGTTATTGAAAGAATTGCTCACTTGTGGCCTGAATTAGTTTATGAAGAAAATGTCAAATGCCAGAACAGAATCAGCATATTTTATGTAAGAACTGAAAGGGGATTCAGATTATTCCAGGACCAATATTGGCCCCCAGCTTCCCATTACCCAGGCTGGAGAAATATAACCATGCTTGAAAACTCTTTTGTCAAAAACATTATTGCCTTTATGAAAAATAAATATAATAAACCATCCCTCTGGTATTAAGCACTGATGACGGCTCCTTGTTCCCAAACGTGTGGGACATTTGGCAGCTGGTGCTAATCACAGAATGCGACAAACTCGAGTGAGCATATTTCATTTGCCCAAAAGAGTTTAAATTTCCAAAATTACCTTATTTTGAAAGTCAGAAAAGAGATTAGCATTTCCTTCTTGTTTCTGCATAGAATGAAGGATGCTTTCTTAATTTTCATCCTTCTTCAAGCTTGCATCAGCAGTGTGGGGCACAGGCATTATTTAGTGAGAAAGCATTTCTCATGGATACAGAAACTCAGGATATCAGGCTCATTTTGAGCTTCTATGGGAAACCCGTTCATCACTGATTCTAATGGGGACCATTAAATAGCCTGAAATGTCATTCCTCCTTCTGTGGCGAATGTCTCTTCACCATGTCCTCCACTATAGCCCCACACAAGCATAAGTTTTCCAAGAAACACCTTCCTTGTTGTCTTTCCCATGGAGTGCCCTCTCTTTTCTGTCCCTCTTTCAACTGCCATGGCAGCGTGGGAAGGAATAGAGGCTCTCAAGTCTAGATTCAAATGGTTTGGCTTTGTATTAGTTCTCACATTGCTATAAAGAAATATCTCAGACTGGGTAATTTATGATGAAAAGAGATTTGATTGGCTTACAATTCCATAGGCTGCACAGGAAGCATGATTCTGGCATGTGCTCAGCTTCTGGGGAAGCCTCAGGAAACTTACAATCACGGCAGAAGGCAAAGGAGAAACAGGCTTGTCTCACATGGCAGGAGCAACAGAGTGAGGGGGGAGCTGCTACACTCCTTTAAACAACCAGATCTGGCGATAACTCACTATCATGAGAACAGCACTGAGGGGATGGTGCTAAATCGTTCATGAAGGATCCACCCTCGTGATCCAATCATCTCCCACCTCCAAAAGTGAGGATTACACTTCAATGTGAGATTTGGGTGGGGACACAGATCCAAACTATGTCAGGGTTGAAATTTAGATTCTAATTCTCATGAATGATGGATCTGGGGAAGCGATTCTAAATTATGGGTGACTTTATCCTCCCTCTCCCCATTGGACAGTTAGCAATGTTTGGAGACATTTTTGGTTGCAGCATCTTGAATAAGCAATGCTACTGGCTGCTAGAGAGTAGAGGCCAGGGAGGCTGCTAAGCATCCGACAGTGCACGGGATTGCGCCACAACAGAGAATAACCTTAAAAGGTTAATACTGCAAAGGTTGAAAAACTTTGCCCTAACACTTCTAGCAAAGTACTGAACTTTTTCCAAGCCCAAGGTTTTACTCTGCAGTAAAGAACAGATAATATTAATATCTACCACCTACCTCATGGGCTAAGGTGAGAATTAAATGAGGTGATTCCTATAAATTGCTTAACAATGCTTGCCCAGTACCTATTTTTAACCAACATTTATTGCACTTTTATTACCTTGGGCCCATTGGTACCTATGTTACCCCATATAATATAACAAGTTAACAAATCTGTTTCTTCTACCCCAGGAAGGGGTGGAGGAGGAACTGACTCATTTCAGCACCCATATAACCTGGCACAGTGCCTGAAATATAGTAGATGTTGGATAAATATAAATTTCCTTCTGCAGCTTTCAAAGGAACCTATCCAGACTAGGAGCAAGCAGATTTGCTCTGTTTTGATTTCTATTTTCAAAGAGTGAGAAACTGGGAGGCAACAGTAATAACAGACCATCCAACCCATGAAGCTGTGTCATCAGAATTGGAAACGTGAAATGCAGCATTCCTAAAGCTCCTGGTCAAATAGTCTAATATGTAAAGGACTGATCCAACCTCAGAGAAGTAAGCAGACAGAAAATAGGATCAATAAAATACCGAGACTGGGCATAATGGCTCATGCCTGTAATCCTAACACTTCGGGAGACCGAGGCAGGCGGATCACATGCAGCAAGGAGTTCAAGACCAGCCTGACCAACATGGCAAAACCCCATCTCTACAAAAATACAGAAACTAGCTGGGTGGGGTGGAGCATGTCTGTAATCCCAGCTACTCTGGAGACTGAGGCATGAGAATCGCTTTAACCTAGGAAGCAAGGGTTGCAGGGAGCCAAGATTGCACCACTGCACTCCTGCGACAGAGGACGACAGAGGGAGACTCTGTCTCAAAAAAATAAATAAATAAACTAAAATAAAATATTGAAGATGATAAGGTTGTTCAGTGTGGAGAAAAAAGAATTTTATCTTCTTTCTGTTTCCTCATGCTGAAAAGAACAGTATCTTGGGACCCGGTAGCAATGAGTTTGGATCCCAGTTGAGCCAGTTTTGGCTGTACGATTTCAGAAAAGCTCTTTAACAACTCTGAGTTTCGCTTTTATTATTTATAAGAAGAAAATAACCATCTTCATGTGATAAAATGACAATGAGAAGGCATGCCATTCCTGTAAAGTGCCTAGGATACTATCTGTCACAGCACAGGAAAAGAAGAAGAAAAGAAAAGAAAAAGCAAGCAAGAGAAGAAGGAAGGGAAGGGAAGGGAAGGAAGGAGGGAAGGGTAAAGAAATCCTGCTTCTCCCATGTGTTCTCAGCAGATTTGGGTATCCAGCATCTATAACTGTGTATTTTTCTAGAAATAGAGACTGCATTTTTTTCTTTTTCAAGGTGAAGTCTCGCTCTGTTGTCCAGGCTGGAGGGCAGTGGGGCAATCTCGGCTCACTGCAACCTCCGCCTCCCAGGTTCAAGCGATTCTCCTGCCTCAACTTCCTGAGTAGCTGTGATTATAGGCACGCGCCACCACACCTGGCTAATTTTTGTGTTTTTAGTAGAGACAGGGTTTCACCATGTTGGTCAGGCTGGTCTCGAACTCCTGACCTCATGATCCCCTGCCTCAGCCTCCCAAAGTGCTGGGATTACAGGTATGAACCACCACGCCCAACCAGAGGCTGCATTTTATAGTACAGTGGATCTCATCCTGGCTTTACACTAAAATAATTAGAAAGCTTATTTTAAAGCACTATCCCTAGTATCTATTTTAATTGCTCTGAAGTGGGACCTGGGCATCAGAATTTTGAAGGCTCCTCCAGGTGAAGCTAATATGCAGACAGGGCTAAGAACCCAGAGGGAACCAGGTTGGAGGAATACATTCACCACAAAAGCTTTGAAGGTATTTAAGCCTTATCTATGCCCAGGTTTCCAGAGTCTAACATAATGCTCACTCAACTGGCAAATGTGTCCCTCTGTGGGCCCGAACCCCACCAGTCTATTGGGTCACTGTCTTGGTGGTGTTGACATCTTTAGAAGTTGGCATTTGATGTCTCTGGGGTTCCTGTAGTTACAGTTTACATTTATGTAATCGTTTTTAGATGTGATGAGAATTGTGCTGGATCTCTTCACCAAAACACCTCAAGAGAGTAATTCTATTTTCTCTTCTCGAATTTTTCCAGCAGCCATGTAAAGTATGGTTTCCTAAGCCTCAGATGAGTAAGGTGCCAAGCCCAGTGGATGGCACATGTGCTCAGTAAATAGTACTTGCATATTCATTGGGCACCTAAGGTCACCATGCTTCAGAGAAGTTAGGTCACTCAAAGTCACAGGGTTGACATTTGACTATTGATGGGGCAAAAACTTCCACAGCCCTGTAGCAGACACTGGAGTTAGCATGATACATGAGATGGCTTTGCTTCTGAAAGAGAGATGTGCTTTCAAATTCATTTTTAGCAGGGCCCACATGGGTGGTAACAGCAGCATTAGTGATGCCCAAGTCCCATGTAATCAACCACATAAGGATATTGCTCTGAAAACAGAAGGAACATTGGCAATCAAAGCTTCTGCAGCCGAACCATGCAGCTAAGTGCCTGCTCCGTCTCTGCCAGCTGTTGGTAAGGCACTGTGAGTGAAATGAATTGCCCTCCCTAAGGCAGAGGCCATGATTTACATCTGGCAATCAACTGTATCAATGGCAGGCAGTTAGACAGCTGCAGCCCTTTGCAGCAGGCTGTGCTCGCCCTGGATGGTCTTTGTGGTTCCAGCTATTGTGTTTCAGGCCCCATTTGTCTCTGCCAGCTCTGCTATTCTCTTTTTTAAAGCTAAGCCTTGGTTTCACAAAACAATTACTGAATTGAAGCACTTCAGTAAAGGAAAACGTCACCCCAGTCATTCATTGACAACTCAAAACCAGAAGAGCACTTCGAAGTTTGGAGAATGTTGGTTGGACATTCTCAACCACTTATGCACCATTATTATGATTTTTACAATATCCATGTACTTACTTTTTCTGCCCTGTTCATTTTTTTCAACTTAAATAAACTTACTTAAAAGAAATACATATAATTAATATAAATAACTTCAATACAGATCGCTCCCAACCAAAACTTTGAGCTCTGGGGAATTTTCCGTCTGATAAAAGGGAAGGTAAGCAAATATTAGAAAGGTGTTTCATATCTACTTAACCACTGCACTGAGCCTTTCTCCTTGACATAATCTGAAAGACAATTAAAAAGGGGATAACTTTTCTTCTGCGAATCCATTGCAATTTTAATACCTAGGTCCATGCACCAAAAAAAATCATCCTAAGTAACAGCAAGAGTAACCAACATTTTCTGAGTTTTAACTACACACCAGGCCTGGTTTGGAGTTTCATGTATGTTCATTCATTTAGTCTCACAACAGCACTGTGAAAAAGCAATATTACTATCTCCGATTTACTGATAAAAATTAAGAAATTGAGAGTTCATTGTTCCATATGTCCTTTAAGCTCCAGTACACTTAATGGCCCAAGGTGGGGTTCAGCCAAAATACAATTTAAATGACGCACCCAATATTTAAGAAACAAAACACCCACTTGCCTAACTATGGCTTTCCTTTTTTTTTTTTTTTTTAAGTAGAGACAAGGGTCTCACTAACACTCCTGTCCAGGCTGGTCTTGAATTCCTGGCCTCAGGCAGTCCACCCGCCTTGTCCTCCCAAAGTGCTGGGTTTACAGGTATGAGGCAACACGGCCAGCCAGCTTTCCCTTTACAACCAGCAATGCTGGTATCACATCAATTCAAGCAATCTCTATCGCAAAAATATATGCTCTGATGATTTGGGAAGCGAAAACAAAAAATCTTTATAGATACCAAGAAACCATGATCTTTTAAAAGAGAAAGTGTGGTTATAGAGATATACAAATTTCTATCTATGAATGGAAACTATTGATTTTAAAGTATAAACATTATAATTATTGTTTTCCAAGTTGTTGCCGTTGGGGGAAACTGAATATAGGACACACAGGAACTCTGTATTATTTCTCACAACTGCATGGGAATCCATCATTATCTCAGGATAAAAAGTTTAGTTTCAAAGCATATGTAAACATTAAAATGTTCTGCAAAGTGTTCAACAAATGTTCAACCAACTCAAGTTAAATAGGTTAAAGAATCTTAGTAAAACTGTTTAACGAACTCATTTAAATCTCCTTAAATATTTGAAATACCTTTATAAATTCAATTTCTTTGATTTTTAAGTACTTCTAATGTTGACAGGGCAGGTTTAAATGCTAGCCAGCAAAACTTTAACACTTTCTATAAATCCAAGAAAGTAAATGTATAAATACAGAAAATTTTAATTTCTCTTAAACAGTTCAAACTCTTTAAAATGGAGACAAACACATCTTGACACTTGGAACTTCAAATCTGCATTTTAAATTGAAGCCATACAGCCGATCTTTCAGTATCCTTAACACGCTGGCTTCTTAAACATTAAATACTGAGATTAGCCACATTTTAACCCCAAAATAATTAATACTCTGGGTGTTTGTTCTACTTCATTACCTCTATTCAAATCTCTTTGTTTTCTCAGGTTTCCAGCTAAAAAGGGGAGGGAGGGTGTAAGAGGTAAGAGGGTAAACCTTGGAACCTTGGGACCCTTGCCTATTGCTTGCAGGTCTGAGACCAGGATCTAGCATCTGAGCACTGTTTGTTTCTGGGATACTGATACAGCCTGACTCCTAAAACTCTAGATCAATCGCCTTTAACTGTGATCAGTGTTGCACGCTTAATAGTCCCATATTCTTCACATCCAGTGTTTTCACTGACGGATCTGGGGAGGTGGAACATATACCCTCACTCCACTCCCTTCATAGTTTCTTCACCAAACTTTGACCACATTCTGACAACAACGCACATTGAATACCCAACAGTGTTATTTTTATTTATTTGTTTATTTATGTATTTTTTGAGACACAGTCTCGCTTTGTCACCCAGGCTGGAGTGCAGTGGACGATCTCAGCTCACAGCAACCTCTCCACCTCCTGGGCGCAAGCTACTCTCCCGCCTCAGCCTCCTGAACAGCTGGGACTACAGGCATGTGCCATCACGCCCAGTTAATTTTTGTATTTTTAGTAGAGACAAGGTTTCACCATGTTGGCCAGGCTGGTCTCGGACTTCTGACCTCAAGTGATCCGCCCCCGTCAGCCTCCCAAAGTGCTGGGATTCCAGGCATGAGCCAAGGCACCGGGTCGCAACATTGTTACTTTTTTATTTCTAGCAATTCTCACATTAACACTCCTAAGTACTCTCGTTGCCATTTTGAAGATGAAAAAAAAAAAGGAGGTTTAGAGAAGTTAATTGACTCACCAATAGAATGAAAAGCCTGGAGTTCATTTAGAGACCTTTCCAAAATTCACATTATTCAATTCCATATTGGATTTTTTTTCTCTACCACTAAGTTTCATGGGTTTTTTTTGTTTGTTTTTTTGTTTTGTTTTGTTTTTTTCTCGTGTCTGAAATCTCCGTTCTTTATCAGCATTCTTTCTCTTACACTTGCCTTCCTGGGATCCCACTGCACCTGACAGCTTCATATTGAAAACTCTTTATGTTCCCTCAAAGTAAAAAACGAAAAGCTTTAAAACCAAGTTGATAATAGGTCTGACTGTGCTAATGAAACTTGACATAGGAAATCAAACGTCAAGAGAAATGATGTTTTTTTTAAATTTCTCCCAAAATGAGATGCAAGTTTATTCGTGTCCTTTCTATCACCACCTTTTATTTTGGCTCGTAACTTGGTCTTTTCATTAGAAAATTATGAGAAAAATAACCTGGCTTTAGTTTTATGGAGGAGGGATAAATATCACACCGGACGATGGGCTGTTAATTTGGCAGTGAAAATGTAATCAAAGGTTTGTGAGGCTTAGAATGATTTTATCTTGGTCATGATGAACTGTGTTTTATGTAACACCATATTTCTTTTCTTGCAGTCAGATAAGCTTAAGGGACTTAAGTGAGGTAAGTAGCACTTTTATCCTTGGACGCAAAGAAGGGAATTTTGAGGCATTAAATGTCTGCAATAGGCAAGATTCTATTTGCTTCAGACACTTACAGTTAATTCTCACAGTAACTATGCTCAAAATGCATTAGTATCTCTATTTTAAAGATGAGAAAGCCAAAGTAAAATAAGCTTAGCTCCAGATTTTAAACCAGGATCCTGTTTGGCCACCATGGTCATTCAGGGTTCACTGGTATAAGAAGAACATGCCCAGTTCCACATGGAAGATATGCAGTATTGACTGATGGCTTCCAGCCTCCAGTATTACAGAAATCAAGTGTTAGCAATGGTATTGCTCTTTGCTATTTGTCCTTCATAAGAAAGACAGGAATGCAAAGTAGAAGGAACATGAGATTCAGAGTTGCACAAGACCTGGGTAGGAATCCTGCTCTGCCACCTACTTGCTTTGTGAACTTCAGAAAATGCTCCTACTCATCCCAGTTTCTGTTTCCTCAGCCATACAATAGGGATGGGGGCTGGGTGCAGTGGCTCACACCTGTAATCCCAGCACTTTGGGAGGCCGAGGTGGGCGAATCATCTGAGGTCAGGGGTTCAAGACCAGCCTGACCAACATGAAGAAACCCCATCTCTACTAAAAATACAAAATTAGCCAGTTGTGGTGGCGCATGCCTGTAATCTCAGCTACGCTGCTACTCAGGAGGCTGAGGCAGGAGAATCGCTTGAACCTGGGAGGTGGAAGTTGCAGTGAGCCAAGATGGTGCCATTGTACTCCAAAACCTGGGCAACAAGAGCGAAACTCTGTCTCAAAATAAATAAATTAAATAAATAAAAATAAAATAGGGATGGGTACACTTCTGTGCAAAGTTGATGTGATAAAGTCAAAAGTAAGTAGTGCACAAATGGCCAGGTGACCATAGCGGCTCAATAAATGGCATAAAAGACATGTGAGATAAAGCTGTAATAGAGCCTTCCAAGGGTATTGATTCCCTTCAGTGCCCAAAGAGAAAGTTCCCTGCGAGGCTAGTGGGGCTACCATGACTGATGGGAAGACTGTCCAACAACACAAGTGGCCTCACCTCACTCCCACTGGACTCTAAGGAATTTTGTTCTTGTCTTTGTGTTTGACCTATGCTCTTATCTAGATCTTAGACGTGAATTTCTTTCCTTGCTTTATTTGTTGGTTTTGTGAGAATGTTAAAATCAAAAAGTCACATTTCCAGCTTGTCACTGAAACAAGACATTTATTACCCCTAATCTCCCTAATCCACAAGACAATAATGTCAAGAAAGATAACGTACATAACCACTTGATGAGAAAAACAGTTCTGGTTCCACTGAGGACTTCACCAGGCTCATGCTCTTCTGGGAGGGGGTGCACTTCCTTAGTGTCACCTGGAAGGAGCAGGCTAGGGTGATGCTCGGCTGCTGGGGGAACCCACACATCCAAGGTGCCTGAATCCAGGACTCTGTCCCCTGCTTCCTGTAAGCTAGGCCTAGGTATCTCGAATAGTAGTTGGGTGCTGCTCACCATGACCTCAAATCATAACCCATTGGTCAGTCTGAGAGGACAGTAGGCCTCCCAATCACAAACAAGCAAAAAGGAATTGGGAGATGGGGGGGTCAGCCTTAGATGGCAGGAAATGTGCAGGACTGTTTGTTTTCTTTGCAACTTTAGTTGGCATTCTGCTAGAAGTTGATATCATCTAAAGAACAAGAAGGTCTAGTGGAAAAACACATTGTTGCTCCTTATCTTTTGCCAAGACACTTCCCCATTGTTTGTTTGGGCTGAGATTCAAGGCCATTTCTTCACAACAAAAGCCCATCAGGGCAAGCTGCGCTTGTGCCTGCGCTCAGTGCTTGCTTGAACACTGTCCTGTGGACTAGAATCTTTTATGTGCTAGCTGCCCCCACTCAAATTCACATGGCATTTTATAGTTTTCACGGAAAGGAAAGACTCATTGTCTCATTTTGTACTCACAAAGCCTTAAGAGAAAAACGAAACCCCAGAGAGGTGGCAAAGAGTCCTCACAGCCGGGAGGAGATAGGGCCAGTCGTGGAAATCCCAAAGTCTAGGTGTCTTCCCCACCGCCATGTCCCTCTGCCTTAAAACATACAGAAATAGCTCTGTACTAAAATAACTAAAAAGAATATGGAAGGAAGGAATGAAAGGAGGGGGCAGAGAAGGTGAAAGAAAAGGAGGAAGGAAATGGGAAAGAGGGAGGAGAAAGGAAAAGAAAAGAGGAAGAAGAAAGAGGGAGACAGGTAATAAAAGAGATACTACTATTTAACTTGACTATGTTTATTTTCTAACAATAAAAAAGTTACAGAAGAAAAATGAGTGATTCATGCTACTTTTCTAACTACATTTGATCTGAAATTCAGAGCCCTCAAGCCAAAAGTTGGTTGGTCTCAATTAAATAAAACAACTGCTACCCCAGATAGAGGGCTTCTCTGCACTCTTCGCATCTCTTCTTCCCCTCACCGTTGACAAGCCTGAGAGCTGCATAGGATTGAGCACTTTGAACAGCCAGGTTCAAAGTCCTGGGGGAGACTCAGTAGGGATACTTTCAAATCACTCACTAGAATGGATTCATTACTCTTTTTACTTAGCCTATAGAGTTTCTTTGATTTTCTGTCCATAATGAAATGTATGTCCTCTTTCCAGAATCCTAGGGAATGCCAAAGTCTTTGAAATAAAAAGTCTTCTCTGTAGGCCACCTTCAGAGGGAGGCGTACAATGCCTCTCTAAGCAATTTGTTGCCAAAAGTTTCTTATCTGTGAGGCAACTATGAGTCAGGAGAGCTGGGCTCAGGGTTAGTTTAGCCTTCAGATGACTGCGGGAATCTAGGAGAATGGCATGATCCTTTGGGACCTCATCTGTAAACCAACTGTTTTTAACATTTAATGGACCTCACACCACTTTGAAAATTTGATGAAAGGTATAATAAACCTTTCTCACCCCAGAAAAATAAAAAATATGTACACATACTTAGAGAGAAAAAAATTTAGCTTGTCATTTCAGAAGGTTCATGGACCCCACTAGGCCATTCAATAATCTATTTCATCCCCCTGGTTAAAGCAGTTCTCATCTAAATGATACCTGAGGTCTTCTTCAACTGATGCAATATATACATGGACTTCCTAAAATTATTTTCAGTTAAATAAATACTGCAGCAAACACTGTACCTCCTGCAACGCTTTTTGCTTCTTCAAGGGTAGAGTAGAATAGGGCCCAAAGATACAAGCCCAATAAGCATGAAGATTTTCATAATGAAGAATGACCAAGAATTCTACCACCATAAGGAAGGAAAGAGAAAGAAAATGTTTGGGAAGATAAATGGCTACATTTAAAAAGGATAATGTGAATATTTCCATGCTTATTTTAAAAAATAGAAATTTCAGAGCAAGTATAAAGAGAAAATTAACCATAGCCTTATTGCTTAAGTACAACCTTTCATATTTTATCATATTACTTCAAATCATTTCTTCTGCATACACACAAATATACATGGGTATAAAATACAATCGCATAAGAATATATTATGGGTCCATTTTTTATTCCAAACTTTAAATGTAACATGGATGCATACTTATAATCTTATTTCATTCTCTATATAAATACTTATAGTGTCTTTATAATATTCCAATAAGTGAGTATAGTACCAAAATTAACAATGTTCAGTTATCTGGGCACGTAGATTGTTTCCAGTGATTTAACTCTGTAAAAGGAAGGATGCAAAGAACATCTTTGTGCATAGAACTTGGCTCAGATTTCAGGTTGTGTCTTAGAAAAAGAGTCTCATCAATGGAATTATTGAGATAAGAATAAGAGTATTTCTAAGGTTTTAGATAATTATGGTAAATTACTTTCTAAAAGAGTCAAAGCAATGGATAGTCCCATCAGCAGACTGTGGACTTGTCTGTTCCTTCACACATCGATTACAAAATTTTGATTTTTGTTCAGTTTTCTGAGGAATTATTTGTAGATTTAAAAAAAATACAGGAACTATGCTAACAAAAATTTTACCAAAATTCTACCAACCAAATGCTCTGAAAACACACATGGTATTCTATTAAATTCTCTGTCATCAAAAGTCAGTAAATATTATTATTTTTTTAATTCAATACAGGTCCTTGAAGCAGAAAAAGGTGAATTGTTTACATTTGTTTCTTTACCCTAATACTAATAATTGGTTCTCTTTCTAGATCTACAGTGCTTATGGGTATTGAAAGGGATTGATTGTTTGGAAGCCTGGGATAGGGATGTATGTGTGTGCATGATGACATGATCCTCATGCACACACATACATCCCAAGGGCCTCAGAGTCCTCTAGTCTAAACAGGGTGATTTAAATCCAGAATAGACCAGACATCTTTCTTTAGCCATACACTACTGACCAGAAGGCATTACACTGTCACCCTCTGCCACTTTGGAAAGATATAGCTAGTCCCCTGCTCCAAAGAAGCTCTTGGTATCTCTGCCTCTGATGTCACCCATGCACACACACGTGTGTCTCTTTCATGCACACGCACTTGTACACACATGCACATACCTCTACAGTGTTGGTGGTGTTGTGCAAGCATGCAATCCAACAGTCACTCATATCCTAAATGGCAGGATGCTAAGCAGGTAGCACTTTCATATTCACCTGGGAAACACTGTTCTCCATTCCTCTAGAATGATGAATTATGTCCAGAGCCAAAGGGCCTGCATCACAGTCCAAAGAGTTCGCAAAAGACATCATAGTTCAATAGAGCAATATTAGGTTAGGATTTCAGAGGCCTGCCACAAAATCACTGTATGGTTTTGGTCAAGTTGCATTTCCTCTGTGAGGCTCAGGTCTGCTCTTCTCTACACATTGACAAAGCTAAACTGGAAATGAGGCCTAAATTGGGTTTATGGATTCCCCATGAGTCCCTGATGGAGGAGTAGGAGTTGTTGGCAAGCCGAAATAATTCACAAACCTAACTGAAACCATGCCCTTTCCCACAATACAGCTCAACATCCTAACTAAAATGTTCAGCTTTTGTTCCATCAGACAACACAACAACAAGTGTTAACACAACAACGTGGCATTGTTCAGCTCAAGAGGGGCAGATACTCTGGGTGGTTACTGATGACATGAAATGATTTTATGGGATGCATGATTCATGGACCAGCCACTGACTCATGTTTCAAGTAATCACAGTCCTTCGATCAAAGGTGTCCAGTTTGTGATGAACCTTGGGCAGAATACAGAGCAATAAGCACAGTTAAAACATGCCGGTGCCTGTATGCACCCTTTGCTTTATTACTTATGGTCACAGCTGGGAGAGTGTTTTATGAGATTTTATATCATAGTATTATGATGTGCCCTTGGCAATTCTGGATGGCTAGTTAAATCTGTCTGTGATGAAAAGAAAATAAAAAGCAGTAACATAAACTGCATATGTAATTACTAAATAACTCCAGATTGTATGGTTGGCAGAACTTTTAAAAACTTGATGATCGAGGGGGGAAGAAATTGAGAAACTGTATCCCTGGTTGGATCCAGGTAGAGACTGCTGGTCTACCTCAGAACCCTAGGAGCTCTCCTGCCCTATCACAGGAGGGCATGAGAATACAAGTGCCATGATGAGCTGGGCACCCCAATCTTCTCCATCAGCCACAACAGTCCTTTCATTTAACTTTCTTCTTTTTAAGATCTCATCTCTCAGAAGGGTCTTTCTTAGCCATACGTATAGTCACTCTGTATCCCAAAGTAGTACTTCATTTCCTTTATATCATTGTATTGCCTAATAGAAACGTTCTTATTGACTTACTTGCATGCTTATTTCCATTTCCTTTCATTAGAATGTAAGAACCATGTCTGTCTTCTTCTCCACTGTATTCCCAGACTCTGGCAGAGTACTTGTTCCATAGTAGCTGTTCAGTAAATATTTGTCAGATGATATAAATGAATGAATGAATGAATGAGGATGAAGCTAAAAATCTTTTAAAATCACAGGTCCAGAATAATCCCTAAATACCTTCCAATATAATATTCTGTATTTCTGGGAGGTTCAATAATGTGTTCTAGCTTGTAAATATTCAAAGTGATTTTTACAACATATAAATATAAGTAATACAAAAGTCATTCTCAGGAGGCAGAAGAGTTGTAGAATATGTGAGTTACAGTTTCCACTGACCATCAAGAGCCCCCTTCTAACAATCAGAGATTACTTGGAGGAAATTATAGTAGTTCCAGTGGGCTTCTAATGGTTCTCAATTATTTTTCTTTTGCAATCTGACTAAATTATGTCACTGTTTTATATAGTCCCTCATAACCAGAGGAAGCCTGAATCAACTCATCTGTTACAAAACCAAAATTCTCAAGAGATTCCACTTGCCGTTAGCAGGTAAGGAGCCAGGAATCCCTTCTCAGGTCTGAGGCTGGGGGTCAGGCCATGTGCTGTCTCAGATAAATGATCACGAAGACTTTCTGAGAAACAAAAGTCTTTGTGTCTGAAGCCCAATAACGAGGTGCAAGAGAAACTTGTGAATTACGGCTGTTACTGATTTTGATAATGTTGTTCTTTCGGAAATTTATAAATGATTGAGTGTTAGAGAAGTTTGGGAAATTTTAAGCATTAACCAGATAGGATTAACTGGAAAGGATGCTAATCAACCTGGGAGGAAACGTTGGTTGTTTCAAACTATTCTGGGCTGATGACCACACCAAAGCTTTAGTTACTTCTGAGCAGCAATTGATGGCCAGGTGACCAAGTGTTGTTGAAAATGCCCTCACCGGAATCATCGGATTAGATACTTGCCTGCCCCGCTTCTTGTGACAACTGTCAACCCAACTGAACAGTTGAAGACCCAAGGCTCAGCCAGGATATTTATTGACCAAAGTCACTAAATTAGTAGTGACTGCCCTAAAACAAAATCTAGGGCCTCCAGTATTAGGTGCTGTAAGGCCCTTATGATCTCACCCTCGCCAGTGCCTCTGACCTCAGTTCAAGCCACTCTCCTCTCACTCTGGGGCACTGAGCCTCATCAGATGCCTGCCAGCAACCACAGTGCCACTTAATGCACGGCACTGGCACGCGCCCCTCTCCTGCCTGTAGTCCCTCCCCCCATATTTGCTCCTCTCCACCCTCTCCCTACTTGGAACACTCCTGTTCCTCCATGGAACCCCAGCTTAAAGCTTAATGAACCCAGGAGACAATTTGCATCAATTCTTCAGATGAAAAACATAAAGCTGAGAAAGACCGAGCCCTTTACCATGGAAGCCAAGCCCAACCTCAAAGTCCAAGCACTGTTCAGTAGACAGTGCTGCCCATAAGGACTTGATTCTAAAAATGCAGCCTATAAATCCTGACTATCCCTGGTGCCTGCCCATGGCTAAAATGCTGCCTTTAATTGATTCCATAAGTATTTGCTGGGAATGTACCATGTTTGTGGTGGAACAGAATAGTGGTTAAGCAGGATGCACTGAAGCCAGGTTGCCTGACTTTATCAGCAGTGAACCACGTGACCTGGGCGACCTCACTGTCTTACATGAGAAACCCAGGGCAGAGTCAGGCATGTTGCAAGAGCCCAGTGAACACTCGCTCTCATTGCAATTGCCAGGCCCTGTATATCGGGGGCATGATCACCATACCCTATTCCTTTCCCTCCTTTATTTTCTTCCCTGGTCCCATTTGGCACCTTCAGTAACTTTGTTTGGCCTGTGGGTCCTAGGACATGTAGCTTCATTGTGCTTTGGGGACCATCTGGTGTCTAAGCCCCAAACACCTTAAATACAAAACTCTTCCCCATACCACAATATCCTCTTCCTCTTCCTCCACCTCCTCGTCTTCCTCCACCTCCTCCTCTTCCTCCTTCTCCTCCTCCTCCTCCTTCTCCTCCTCTTCCTTCTCCTCCTCCTCCTCCTTCTCCTCCTCTTCCTTCTCCTCCTCCTCCTCCTCTTGCTTCTCCTCCTTCTCCTCCTCCTTCTCCTCCTCCTCCTCCTCTTTCTTTCTTTCTTTTTTCTTTTCTTTGTTTGTTTCTTTCTTTCTTCTTTCTTTTTCTTTGAGACAGGGTTTTATTCTGTCTTGTAGTGGCACAATCACATCTCAATGCAGCCTTGACCTCCTGGGCTGAAGCGATCCTCCCACATCATCCCCCAGAGTAGCTGGAACTATAGGTACATACCACCATGCCCAGCTAATTTTTGTACTTTTTGTAGAGAAGGGGTCTCACCATGTTGCCCAGGCTGGTCTCGAACTCCTGGGCTCAAGTGATTCACCCACCTTGGCCTCTAAAAGTGCTGGGATTACAGGCATGAGCCACCATGCCCAGCCCCCTTTCTTAATGTAATTTTCTAGAAGTAAAAAATACACGTTACATTATAGTGAAAAAATAACAAGCTCTCCAGTTGGCCTCGTTTCTTTGTTATTTGATGTGGTTTCACTTCTTTTGTTTATTTATTTGTTTGTTTCATTTATTGAATAAAGAGTCTTGATGTTTCTTCCTCTCTTAACTGACTGCTGCTTCTTCTAATTCCTCATCTTGGGCTTTCTCCCAAACTGACCTCTAAATGTTGGTATTCCTCAGAATTCATCCGAGGTCCTCTTTACTATCTCTGAGGCCTGCGTAATCACATCCATCTCCAGCATCAAACTTCAACTCCATGTTGATAATTCCCAAATCCCTATCTTCTGCAAACCACCTCTCTTAGCTCCAGACCTGTGTATCTAATGACCCATTGAGCAGTTTTCCTTAGCTAAGTCCCAGGCAGCACAAACTCATAATGGTGAAAATCAAACTCTTCATTTCTAGTCCCATTCTGAAACCCATAATATCGTCTGCAAAGCTTTTCATCCCAGTAAACTCAGTTAGCTCTCTTTCCCATCTTCACTCTTCCTCTATCCCATCCATTTTCAGCTCCCAAAATTATATCTCTAAAACATGTGTTGATTGTCTATGTCTCCCCCATTTGCCTAGCTCCTTGCATGGCCCAGTCCGTATCAACTTTTGCCTGGACAATTGCACTAGTCTTCCAATGATACTGATCATCTCCACACCCTCCCTTTCCTCTAGAAGGAACTGCTTTCTGGTCTCTTGCAGAAAAGGCCATGCCTCCTTGCCTCTGGGCCTTTGCACGTGCTGCTCTACCTGCCTGGAATACACTCTTACTCCTATTCGTGCTTCAGGGGTCAGCTTGGTTCATCTTTCTCCCTTTAAGCCTTTCCTGAGAATGAAAGCAATTTTGTCTCATTTACATGACCTTTCACTACTACAGAAACTTCTGCTGTGCACACCTTTACCATAACATTTATTCTGCATTATAATTATGGTACAAGGATGTGTTTCTTTTATAAACTAACCTTCATTCAGGCAGAGGCCATGTCTTCGGTATTGTCTATTCCCCAGAACATACCATGTGCCTAGTAAGTATTCAACACATGTTTGTTAAACCAAACAGTCATCATTTTTATTTCCTTCCTTCCCTCCTTCCTTCCTTCCTTCCTTCCTTCCTTCCTTCCTTCCTTCCTTTCTTTCTTTCTTTCTTTCTTTCTCTCTTTCTTTCTTTCTTTCCTTCTTTCTTTCTTTCTTTTTCTTTCTCTCTCTCTCTCTCTCTCCCTCCCTCCCTCCCTCCCTCTCTCTCTCTCTCTCTCTCTCTCTCTCTCTTTCTTTCAGACAGGGTTTCACTCTCGTTGCCCAGGCTGGAGTGCAGTGGTGTGATCTTGGCTCACCGCAACCTTCGCCTCCTGCGTTCAAGCGATTCTCCTGCCTCAGCCTCCCGAGTAGCTGGGACTACAGGCATGTGCCACCACACCCAGCTAATTTTTGTGTTTTTAGTAGAGACAGGGTTTCACCATGTTGCCAAGGTTGATCTTAAACTCCTGACCTCAGGTGATCTGCCTGCCTTGGCCTCCCAAAGTGCTGGGATTACAGGCTTAAGCCACCGCGCCAGGCCTTTTAATTTTCATTTTCATTATTTGGCTTTTATTTTTTTCTGCTTATATTCATATCAACTATGTACTTCTAGAATATCCACAGAGGACATTTCTATTCTTTTCAACATTTTCTAAAAATCCTAAACTATTAGAGCAGAGAAATTTTGCTATTCCCTATTTTTTCCCAGACATTTAACAGAATTGTACACTGGCTGCTAGTGAAAGGATTCTGGTTTTAACGGAGTCAGATTTTGAATTTCAGTAGCAGTCTGACTGGCAGTCACAGCGTAGTATGGTGACTGGATGAACTGTTCGCGTTTTTATCCACAAAGCAAAACACATGACCTCGGGCTTTTATGGTGACAACATAAACCAGATATATGCTCAGTTGATTTCATTGGCACTAGAAATGGATCAGGTTTCATTTAATTAACCCAGAGGCTTTAGTCAATAGCACAGTCCTTGGAATAGAGCATCTCTCATGTAATTAGATTTAACTGTGGTAGCACCTGGAGCTTATATTGATGATGCTGACCACAATACAAAATGCACCAGAAAATTAGAGCTAAGTATTAAGTAGAGTGCTAAGAAAAGCCACTGATGAACAGTCTTGATAATATCATTTTTGTAGTTAGAAATGCATATTGTTATTTTGTCTTATAGTTTTATAATCTCTTTTTCTTTTGCGTTTTTCTTATCATAATCCACTAAGTTTTCTTACTCAGCACACAATTCTAGAAGGAATACAATACTTTCTATGTTCTTCTTCCACTCTATGGTTGACTTTCAATTGGTAAACAGTTTCTATAGATTTTGAGCCCCCACCAGCAAAATGTTGTGTTCCCTAGTGACTGTAGCTACAAAGCAAGTTTGAACTCATGGCTTCAAAAATGAAGAATAATGATACACACTCACTGAAAAGACCTGAGGAGAACTTATATGGTCCGTTTGTTCCATGTGTAATATTGCCAGCTTGAGAAAGGAGGAGAACATGCCTCCTAGTGCCTTTCAAAACAAATGATTCTTCTAGCTTATCCAGTAAAATAGAAACTGCTTTATAACTGTGACTTCAGGCTATTATCATTGACCTTGCCTCTGAGTGGGATTTTACCACCAAGGGGAAATACTAACATTCTTTGAATTCTAACATATTTTCTTATAGTTCTTCATTCACGATGAGCAACCACGGTGTGCAAAACAGAGGTAAGAGCACTTTCAGAATTATCAAATAAACAGGTAAGTCATGATACTGTGATATTGCTGCACTGTAACTTAGCTGTTGTGAACCCCAGAGCCACTGAGCTGATGTGTACAGATGTAATTAGCTCATTTCCATTGCATTACTATGACAATAATTTTAATCCATGATTAAATATGATCACTTAGGTGGTTTCTAGTTTTTCCTCTTATGAATATTATTATGCTATCAACATTAGTATAGATGTTGTCCCATGTATAAAATGTGATCATTTCCCTTCATAAGAAATTGCCTTCATGAAATTGCTCTGTCTTAGGATATGCATCTCTTCAACTGCCCTAGATGTGTTTTCCAAAGTAGACATTGACTGGTCTCACCAACAGTGTGTGAGTCCCCATTGTTCCCCATTCTCTCCAACAGTTGTTTTTGACGAACTTAATTTTTCCCAATCCATTGGGTGCAAAACAAATTTGTCTCAAGAAAAATCTGCAAAATGAAGAAAATAAAACTGACGTCTCTTAGTAACTGTTTGTAAAGTAAAAATCAGAAGGATATCACATCTGTGGCAATGTCTGAAGCGGCAATATAAATACAGAGTTCCATGACTGTTAGTGGTGGGTGTTGATGCTACTAATTATTTTGCACAAACTATTGCCATCATATTCATTTGTCTTTCCTTTTTTCACTCTATGTGCCATGAAGATTCTGTGTTTACATCTAGCACTGGAATCTCTCTTTGTTGAGCCAAAAAAAGAAAAGGGGGTTTAAGCCTGGAGGAAGCAAAGCCCACAGGGTATCGTGGAGAGGATGAGGTTCTCTACTGATCCTGCTCCTAATTCTGTCTCTCTTCTTATAGTAAGATCACTTTGAACAAATTAATTCTTTGAGCTTTACCTTTCCCCTTTCATAAAATTCAAGTAGTAATGTTAACTGATACACTCATATTAATATAGTATTTGCACACACACACACACACACACAGCCCTCTGCCTGCCACGTAGTAGGCAACTGATACATTTTAATGTCCTTTTTTCCTTTTCTGCATTCTCTTTCTTCTTCCCACCCAAATGACCTCAGTAGACCTGTGGGTTGTCTCACTGACTTCCATCATGCCTTCATATCACTGCTGCCATAAGCCATCTGGGCCTGAGGATGGAAAACCAAGCTGATAAATTCACTTCCCCTCATATACACATTGCTAATGGGTTTCCCAACAGCAGATTCCTTTATTTAAAAGGTGCCCAAAGAGGACTAAAATAAACCCAATGGACTCAATCCCTAGTCATCAAATGTCAGGGATGGAAGTCCTAAAGGTCAGATCTGAGTGGATGAAGATGAAAAGACTTGGAGCATCCCGGAGGAAAGTCCAGAGGCTGACTGGGCTCAGAAGGGGTGTTACTTATGGAGGTTTTGTTGCAGGGATGGGGAAGCAGAATCATAGCTTAGAGAGAAATCCAGAATCTTAACTTGAAATATCAAATCAAGCACAAATAAAGAGCAACTGAAGAATGGAATGGAGCAATGGAAATGGCCTTCACAGATATGAGTCTAGTCAAGCACCCCAGGGCTGTAAGCAGATCATCTGTACTAGGGTTGCTTAGGTTACTGTCAGCTAATCTCACCTCATCTCAGAGGAAACAAGGTTGCCGAAAGAAGCCTGAGATGGATGGCGAAATGTTTGAGCCTTCATTGGTTCCTGTTTCAGTAAACAAACATCCAACAAGAACATGGTTTGTACGAAAAATTGGGCTGAGCCCCCAAGAATACAGAGTGGAGACCACCCCACCTTCTCTTAACCAGTGCTTAAGCACACCTGCGATGTTCCTCCATCAGCTACTGAACCGATACTCATTCTACTGGGTATGAATTCATGCCTGGATCACCAGTACTTGGCGACGTTAAGTAGGCAGAAAACAGCACGCAGTCTCTACACTCCTAGAATTATCGGTCTAATGAGTTCTCCAATGCATCAGGTATAGGCAGCGGAGTGAAATTGACACCTCCATAGTTGTACATGTTATTACACTTATTTTACAAATGAGAAAATAATTTTGGGGAACTTCAGTTATTCTTGTTCAGTTACTGCCTGATAAACAGATTTGGCTCAATTCTTTGATAAATGCATTCAACTTAAACTATTAGGAACCCAAGCAAGTGGATCTCAGGACAGAAAAAAATATTTTGACATTTGGAAGAGGCCCCAGTTTTGGTTATATTCCAAAGTAGTAACAACATTATTCTCTAAGTCTGGGATTGTAGATCATCTGTTTTCTTTTCCTTTTTTATTTTTGGTTTTTGTTCACTAATGCTTTCTCTTTGCTTTAAAATAGATGGCTCTTTTTCTTTTCCTTTTGTTTTTTTCTTTGAGATGGAGTCTCATCATGTCACCCAGGCTGGAGTGCAGTGGCGCAATCTTGGCTCACTGCAAGTTCCGCCTCCCGTGTTCACACCATTCTCCTGCCTCAGCCTCCGGAATAGCTGGGACTACAGGCGCCCGCCACCACGTCCAGCTAATTTTTTGTACTTTTAGTAAAGACAGGATTTCACCATGTTAGCCAGGATGGTCTCAATCTCCTGACCTCGTGATTCGCCTGCCTCAGCCTCCCAAAGTGCTGGGATTACAGGCGTGAGCCACCGCACCCAGCCTCTTTTTCTTATAAAATTATTTTTAAAATTGTGTATAAGGGTGAATTAAATTTTTCGAATAAATATTTATAGACTACCTGATTAACATAAAATGCTTTATTATAAGTTACAACAGGGAGGTCTAGAACTGTGTTTCTCTAGTAATATTAGCAACACGCACAGCTAGTCTTGATGGGGTGGCTATATGATCAAACACTGTGCTAAGAGCTTAATCTATAATGCATAAGAATTTTAAATATTAGTAATTATTGACGTCAGTATGGTTTTTCAACCCATGCCTTTTCTATTAGGCTACTCTCCCTCAAATTTATTGTGCACCTCCACTGTGCTAGTCCCAATGTTCTTCCCCTTATCTTGTGGCTTCATTTCTGTGGCCCTCCATTCTCCATATTAGGAGAGTCCTATTTCATGGGGTTATAAAACTTAAATGTAATGTTTTATTTAAGAAAAAAGATTCCAAAGATTAACTGCTTCAATTATTTTAAAACAAAATCAATTAAATACTTATAGCGAGTTACACAGTCAGAATTTCTTTCATTCATTCATTCAACAAAGATCCAACCAGGCTTTCAGGGAAAATTTACTTGGCAAACTTGTTCTTTTTGTTTCTTTGTTCTGTTTTGTTTTAAGTCATTCTCTGAACAAACTACAAATGCATAGCTGTTTCCAAATGCTCTTTTTCAAGTAGGACTTTTAAAATATCCAAGCAAGGCACTGAAGGTTAAAAAAGAATAAATCAGTTGCCACAATATCATGAAAAATTCATAATCACTGAACATTACTATGCATGCAACACCATCTAAGTGATAGGAAATACCGAAAATGGTTATTTTTTCCTCTTGAGTATGTTCCTATTTCTTCAATCCATGTTGAAAAGTTAATTATGGCCATTTAAATAAGTCTCAAGTCAATTGTATTGTGTATTAGTACAGCTCTGTTGGCTTTCTCTTGGTTAGGATTTGCCTGGTATACAGGTCTCCATCCTTTTGCTGTCTGTGTCATTACATGTTAGAAGTGCAATTAGCAAATAGCTGGAATTTTTAAATCAATCTGCATCTGATTTTTAAAGGTAAGTTTGCACCTTTGATACTTATTGTGCTTACTGATATTTTGGGGTCTGTTTTTATATATGTTGTGCCTCCTATTTGTCCTGCTTTGTATTTAATTTTTTTGTCCTGCTGTGTACTAGATTCATCTCGCCTTTATTTTCCTTTCTTTCTTTTTCTTGGAAGTTATACATTCCAGTATCAGTCTTCTTTTGGTTACCCTAAATATTTTTAACAATGGCATGCTAAAGTTTTAGCAATCTGAAATTCATATTTTCTTTTCAAACAATACAAAAAACTTAGAATGCTTTATTTCCGAAAGTGCAGATTCTTCACTGTGTTTGAAAGTTAAATTTTTTTATTTATAAAATAACATTTTAAAACTAGGAATGGCTCTAGTTTTATTCTCATTTTTTAAAATATAAATTGATGGCTGAAATTAACCACAATTAAGGTAATTTAAACTTTAAGTGATCAAACGGTTTTCTGCAACAAATATTTTGATACAAGGAAGCCCTCATAACAAACATCCTTAAGCTCAACATTAAAAGCAACAATCCTAGCCGGGCGCGGTGGCTCACGCCTATAATCCCAGCACTTTGGGAGGCCATGGTGGGCGGATCCCCTGAGGTCAGAAGTTCAAAACCAGCCTGGCCAACGTTGCGAAACCCTGACTCTACTAAAAATACAAAAATTAGCTGGGTGTGGTGGCAGGTGTCTGTAATTCCAGCTACTCGGGAGGCTGAGACAGGAGAATTGCTTGAACTGGGGAGGTAGACGTTGCAGTGAGCCAAGATTGTGCCATTGCATTCCAGCCTGGGCAACAAGAGCAAAACTCCGTCTCAGAAAAAAAAAAAAAAAAAAAAAAGCTACAATCTTTGGTTCTCCTTAGAATAGAATTGTCAATGGATCAGAAGTAGTGTTCTTCTTAGTAAACTTAGAGATAAATTTGGCTTTTTGATTACAAGAAGCAGAATTAGCGCCTATATAATCTAAATATTATGGAAAATGGCATTTATTTGCTAATGTTTAATATTTCATCTCAAAAATTTACTGGATCAAACACAACCCATCCTTTCAAAGTTCTTGTTAAGTTACTAAGCATAACTGTAACTTTGGTTATGTTTTTAAAAATGAATTACAACTAAAAAACTTATAATTCTATATTCACACTGATTACCTCTTTTCCATTTCATGTTATTTTTGCCTAATATTTTACTTACATAATGTTTATCTATCCTAAAGGTTTTATGTTTTTAAAATAGTTACTCTTTGCTTAAAATTACCAATAAATTTACAGCTGTTTTGCTTGGTATTCCTCCTTATACTTCACTCCATATTTGTGGTCTAAGTTTCAAAATATATATATATTTTATTGTTATTAACTGGAAAGACATGCAATGAAAATGTTATTTTGATTGAGGTATGTAGAGAAAATAGCACATTAACATTTGACAAGTGGTAGTGTCTTAAAGTTTAGGCGTCATGTGAAATCAAACCCCTATCGATGAACTTTTTATATTCTGCTACTTTAAAATCCCTTGGTCTGTCTTGTACTTGAATTTATCTTTTATCCAGGCAGGATTGTGCAACATCATGCATTGATGACTTGGAAAATAATGGATAATAGACATAAACAGGACTGCCACTGTTGATACATGTTATTATGTAATATATTTTTTAAATCACATTTGCACCACCCACCACATTAGAAAAGTGTAAATGTTGGGTTTCTGTTACGTTACAGTGGCAGATGCAAGATTCCTCAAACTCCAGTTTGCACTTGCAAAGTCCAATCTTATGATCAGGAACAGACATTGCCCCTTGTTTTCCATGAAGTGACAGGCTCACTTTGTTCATTTTTAGTAACATATCTGTCAGATATCGAGGTCGGAATAACAATAGCTTGTCAGTCATTCTTTTGGGTTAAAAAGTATGATATTTCATTTTTTAAAGTTATTCTTTCAAGTTGAAAAAAATAGTGTTTCCAAAATAGGGAATGAACTTGTCCTGTTTAAAAAAATGAACAGAGATCATTACACACAGAACAGAGTAGACAATTGGGGGAGAAGTGAAGATATGGATAGAGAAATATGAATAGACAGTCCATTCAGAGCCTTATGGACAGAAGGAAAACACTTACATTTTCTTCTAGGCAGAAAGGAAATCATATCAGAAATTTTACCAAGGGGAGTGGCAGAGTCAGAATTCCAATTTTTTTTTTTTTTGAGATGGACTCTTGCTCTGTCACCCAGGCTGGAGTGCAGTGGCATGATCTCGGCTTACTGCAACCTCCGCCTCCCTGGTTCAAGCGGGTCTCCTGCCTCAGCCTCCCTAGTAACTGGGATTACAGGAGTGCGCCACCACGCCCAGATAATTTTTATATTTTTAGTAGAGACGGGGTTTCACTGTGTTAGCCAGGATGGTCTCCATATCTTGACCTCGTGATCCACCCACCTCGGCCTCCCAAAGTGCTGGGATTACAGGTGTGAGCCACCACGCCTGGCTCAGAATTACATTATTAAAAGATGACTCTGGGAGTCCTAAGGAAAGAGAGGAGGAAGCGCAAAGCTACAGGCAGAGAACAAAACAGAGAGAATTAAGGTCACTGGGTGAGCTGATGTGGTGTTGACCAAGAAGGTCCTCACAGATATAGGAAGGAGCGAAGGGTTTCAGTTCCCTTTTGGAGGTGGGGGACAGCCTGCACCAGTCACAAAATCACACTGAAATGTGAATTTAACCTTTCCAGATCATAGAGGAGCCTTGCAGCCCTGTTCTCCTCAGAGATGCCAGCCGCCAGCCAGCTGCAGCCCTCACGAAAATATACCACCCTATAAATACACAAGCTGGAGACCACCTTTCCCCAAAAGGTCTGATAGAAAGGTAAGCAGACATTTCTCTGCCAAGTCCTTCTAGATGTACTCGGCATCTAAATAGAGCTTTCCTGAACAATGCCCAAAATGAGATTATTTATGTTTGACTTTAACTTTTTCCCTTCTGGCTACATATTACTGGGTTTTAATATTTTTAAAGTATTTTAATATTTTTAAATATGTTGCTATATAACATATTATGTTGGTCTCTCACCAGATTCTTTGACTGGCATGTTTCCAGATTCTAAAGTGTTTTTTAAAAATTTATCCAAAAATATAGATATTTAGACATGTGTTTTATATTTACCAGCTGTCCAATAATCTTGTGGGGGGTTAACTAGGATATACAGGTTGCAATTTTTTTCCAGCAAAAGATTCATGTATTACACACCCATTTCAGTTAACAGTCCAGTGACCATTAGTTGAGCAGTTATTGTGCCAGATAATGTGCTAGAGGTTATGGTCCCCACCCTAACGGAGATGTAAAGAGTGGGGAGATGCAAATGGATGCTAACTGTGCTCTTGTGTGTCCATCATCTATTTTGTGGTCTCTTTCTAAAACATGCTCATTCCCTACAATTGATTATTTTTGCACCGTTTTTCACTTACATTACCCTATGGTGGGGGGATAAAGCTTTCACTGTATCTTGTATGCTTTCTCTCCATCACATTAGATGTTATTTATTAAAGTCTTTCACTGTAAAACCCCAGAGGATGTGCCTTTTCCAGGTCTCCATTCCACACCCTGCTATTACTCACTGTCCTGCTACAGAGCTTGTGAAGATTTCTAAGCAGAAGCAGAATGAATAGGATATCTCTGGTGAATTCTTACAGTATCCTAAAGCTCTTTTGTTATCCTTATATTCATATTAATTTCTACCAATTCTAAAAGGGTCTCATAATCTGAAATTAGACTTTGGAAAATATTTTCACATCCTGGCCAGGCATGGTGGCTCACGCCTGTAATCTCAGCACTTTGGGAGGCCAAGGTGGGTAGATCACCTGAGGTCAGGAGTTTGAGACCAGCCTGACCAACATGGAGAAACTCTATCTCTACCAAAAATACAAAAATTAGCCAAGTGCAGTGGCACATGCCTGTAATCCCAGCTACTTGGGAGGCTGAGGCAGGAGAATCACTTGAACCTGGGAGGCAGAGGTTGCAGTGAGCTGAGATCGCACCACTGCACTCCAGCCTGGGCAACAGAGCTAGACGTTGCCACAAAAAAAAAAAAAAAAAAACCACACGTCCTGCTTTTATTGTCCCTTGTCATGCACTCGCCTTCCTTTTGCTCTTTCATCTTCTTCATAAACATGGGGATCCCTTGGTTCTAAGTAGAGCTAACTAGAGGTCTACACAAGGTCACGCTCCCTCCCAGATCCCGAATTCCTCATAGGCATGAGACAGGCTTGGACCACATCAGGATTTCCCCGATTTCAGGTATTTGAATGTGCCTTTATGATTTGTGGCATATCTATGTCCTGTCAATAATAACATTTACTTAATAATACTCTTTAAGGTGACCTGTTTTCACTTGATATCACTATCCTGGTTAATTTTTTTTTTTAAACCAGTGTTATATATCATAGAAAGTGACTTTAGAAGTAACTCCATTCAGGCCAGGTGCGGTGGCTGACGCCTGTAATCCCAGCACTTTGGGAGGCCGAGGTGTGCGGATCACAAGGTCAGGAGATTGAGACCATCCTGGCCAACAGGGTGAAACCCCATCTCTACCAAAAATACAAAAATTAGCTGGGCATGGTTGCACGGGCCTGTAGTCCCAGCTACTCGGGAGGCTGAGGCAGGAGACTTGCTTGAACCAGGGAGTTGGAGGTTGCACTGAGCCAAGATCGTGCCATTGCACTCCAGCCTGGCAACAGAGTGAGACTCTGTCTCAAAAAAAAAAAAAAAAAAAAAAAAAAAAGAAGTAATTTCATTCCTTAGCGTATGCCCCAAAGAATTGAAAGCAAAGACTCAGATATTTGTACACCCACGTTCATAAAATTATTTGTAATAGACAAAAGATGGAAACAACTTCTATGTCCATTGACAGATGAATGGATAAACGAAATGGTACACACACGCACACAATGAAACAGGAATAAAGGAATAAAAGGAATAAAAAAGGAATAAAATTCTAACATGTGATACAATATACAAGAACCTTGAAAACATTATGCTGAGTGAAATAAGTCAGACACGGAGGACAAATATATGACTCCATGTATACAAGGTGCCTAGAACAGGCAAATTCGTAGAGACAGAGGGTAGGATGGTGGTAACTGAGCCCCGAGGAAGGAGGTGGAGGTAATGGAGAGTTATTCATTAATGGATACAGAGTTTCAGTTTGGAGTCATTAGAAACTTTTGGAGATGGATAGTGGAAATGGCTGTAAAGCAATGTGAATGTACTTATTGCCACGGAATTGGTTAAAATGGTAAATCTTATTATATTGTTGCCAAAAAGAGTCAAATTCTGGAAAATATTTGAAGAGATTTATTCTGAGCCAAATATGAGTGACCATGGCCCATGACACAGCCCTCAGGAGGTCTTGAGAACGTGTGCCCGACAGGGTACAGCTGGGTTTTATACTTTTTAGGGAGATAGGAGACTCCAATCAAATACACCTTTTTTCTTTATTTTTTTTTTCTTTTCTTTTCTTTTCTTTTTCTTTTTTTTTTTTTTTTTAGACAGAGTTTCACTCTTTTTGCCCAGGTTGGAGTGCTATGGTGTGATCTCGGTTCACTGCAACCACTGCTTCCCAGGTTTAAGTGATTCTCCTGCCTCCCAAGTAGCTGGGATTACAGGTGTGCGCCACCACACCTGGCTAATTTTGTATTTTTAGTAGAGACAGGGTTTCACCATGTTGGCCAGGCTGGTCTCCAACTCCTGACCTCAGGTGATCCACCTGCCTCAGCCTCCCAAAGTGTTAGGATTACATTTAATAAATACATTGTTTCAGTCCAGAAAGGTGGGACAGCTTGAAGTGGGGCCTTCCAGGTTACAGGTAAATTTCAAATTTTTCTGGTTAACAATAGGTTGAGTTTATCTAAAGACCTGGGATCAACAGAAAGGGAATATCACTGATAGATAGAGGTCTTTTTATCGGTTAAGATAAGGGATTTTGGACCAAAGTTCTTATTGTACAGATGAAGCCTTCAGGTAGCAGGCTTCAGAGAGGATAGAGTGTAAATGCTTCCTCTCAGACTTAAAGTCTGTGTTGATGTTAATGACAGAGAGGTATAATGAGGCATATCTGACCCCTACTTCCCATCATGACTCAAACCAGTCTTTCGGGTTAAATTTTAACAGTGCCCTGGCAGAGGAGGAAGTCCATTCAGATGGACTTAGGAGGCCTTAGAATTATATTTTTGGTTTACAATATTTTCCCTAATTAAAAAAAAAAAATTCATTGCAATATAAACAAAACAAGCTATTAAACTGTAGCAGGATCCCATCACCTGCTAATGACTCTCAGCATAAGGACTGCTCCTCTTCTGTTAAAGAAGAGATTAGAAATGTCAGACAGATATTAAAGACGCATTAGGCCAAAATGAAACATTCCTTTTGAATTATTCAGGGGAACTAGAAAGAGAATTAGAAGGGGACTCCCTTCCCCACAAGTGATTCTGAGAGATGTAATTCAGTTTCTGAGCACCAGTTACATTCACCAGCCATCCCGCATGACCACACCTGGAGAAACATAGGACTCATCTCTAAACGTCTTCCATCTTGGACAAATAAATAAAAACAGAGTAGATGAAATGCACCATGACTGAGCTCTGCCAAGTCCATGGACTGGCCAAGAGGCCCCCTGGAAGCAGTAGACCACTTCAATCTCAGACAGTTCACGCTTCAGTGGGGAGATGGGGCTCCACGGCTTCCCTTTGTCTCTAGAGCCTGTCACATGGCTTTGCGGGAGTGAGGCAGAGCTGGTCCTGCCATGGACCTTTTCAGCAAGGGGGTAGGGACTAGGTCAAATAAGAGGTGACTTTTGGGCCAGGCGCGGTGGCTCACACCTGTAACCTCAGCACTATGGGAGGCCAAGGCATGTGGATCACCTGAGGTCAGGAGTTTGAGACCAGCCTGACCAACATGGTGAAGCCCAGTCTCCACTAAAAATACAAAAATTAGTCGGGCATGGTGGCACATGCCTGTAATCCAGCTACTTGGGAGGCTGAAGCAGGATAATTGCTTGAACCCAGGAGGCAGAGGTTGCAGTGAGCCGAGATTGTGCCATTGAACTCCAGCCTGGGCAACAAGAGTGAAACTCTGTCTCTCAAAAAGAAAAAAAAAAAAAAAGAGGTGACTTTTAGTCCCAATCTTGATGCAAAAGAATGGCTGAGCTGGGTAGGCAGAGGTGAAGACCAGGAGGGATTCCAGGCAGTAGGGCCAGTTCTGTTCTATTCCTGAAGCTGTGTGTGTCCAGAGTACAAGCACTTTTGTCTGGCCAGACCCATGTCTGAAATGGGGTGGCAGGAAGTGAGACTGCAGGGTTGAGTTAGAGCTAACTCATACCGTTCTGGATGGTGTTCACATCAGTGTGTTCTCACGTGAACAGAATCAGAATCTCAGTATTGAATGTATCAGGTTTATTTTTCAGTGGACCAGAGACTCCAAATGAATGAGATACCAAAGACCTGATGTCACGTACCTAACTCTTGCCAACCATGTGACAGGTTTTGACAACTTTTTTTTTTTTTGAGACGGTGTCTCGCTCTGTCACGAGGCTGGAGTGCAGTGGTGCAATCTCGGCTCACTGTAACTGCCACCTCCCAGGTTCAAGCGATTCTCCTGCCTCTGCCTCCTGAGTAGCTGGGATTATAGGCACGTGCCACCATACCCGGCTAATTTTTGTATTTTTAGTAGAGACGAGGTTTCACTGTGTTGGCCAGGCTGGTCTCGATCTCCTGACCTCTTGATCTGGCCACTTCGGCCTCCCAACGTGCTGGGATTACAGGCATGAGCTACCACGCCCAGCTCAGGTTTTGACTTTCTGAACCTTCACTGTCCATCTTCACTAGGGTTAATACTACCTGACATGCCTACTTCAAAGATGTGTTGTAGGGATGGACTGATATGCTACTAAATAAGGAAGGACCTTATAGATGCTGGACTCACAAGGAGGGTTATTTAATATTACGATCCTCGGAACCCTGTGAAGGAATTGCAAGTCCATGATGCATCTCCCTGACTGCCCTTCCTTCTCCCAGTTAGTCTGGATTTTATCATCAAAAGAATTTAAAATCATTTAACATTGATATGAATGAAGCAGTGTGGCCCAGGGAGAAAGCTAGATAAACTAGGATCCGAATCATAGCTCAGCCGCCTGTGCCTCTAGAGAAGTGGCAGAGATGGACTCTTTCTCCCTCCCTGCTGTTTGTATGTTACTAGGGCAGTGTAGGCTTCACAAACAACACATATTTCCACCTCAACAAGCCTCAGCAGCTGAAGATTCAGAAAGCACTGATAGATAGCGGGCTTATCATCTGTTCTGAGGGTGGTGCTGAAGGACCTTTCTCAACAGATTCCCGTTGACTTCAGAATTCCCCAGATGCAGTAACTTTTTCTGTGTCTCCCTGCCCCAAGTATCTGTGGGCTTCTCCAAGCTCAGGGACTAAATGTTAGGCACTGAATATCTACTATAGATTAAACTGTGATTAGGCACTGGTGGAACAAAAGTAAATTTTGAATTAATTAATCAATAATTCATACTTTCCTTTGACCCTAAAATATTTGTAATTGATTCTGTTCTGCAGGATGTCCAGCACAATGAATGGTACATTGGAGAGTACAGCCGCCAGGCAGTTGAAGAGGCATTCATGAAGGAGAACAAGGTAATGCCTTTCACATGGTCCGCCGTCATTGTTTCCATAGGCATCTTAAGGTTCTCTGCTCATGTGTCACAAGCAACTTGCTTTCGTGTATTATTTCCTGCATCACCCTGCATTTCTCAACGCCGGGAGGCTGTAGTTGAAAAAGGCATTTAACATGGAGAGTTTCAGGCCAGGTGCAGTGGCTCGCCCCTGTAATCCTAGTACCTTGTGAGGCCGAGGTAGGTGGCTCACTTGAGGTGAGGAGTTTGAGACCAGCCTGAACAACATGATGAAACCCTGTTTCCACTAAAAATACAAAAAAAAAACCAAAAAACAAAAAAACAAAGAAATTAGCCAGGTGTGGTGGCACGTGCCTGTAATCCAAGCTACTCAGGAGGCCGAGACACAAGAATCACTTGAACCTGTGAGGTGGAGGTTTCAGTGAGCCGAGATTGTGCCACTGCACTCCAGCCTGGGCAACAGAGTGAGATGCTGTCTCAAAAATAAATGAAATAAAATAAAATAATAAAAACAAAAAACAAGAAAACATGAAGAGGACTGGGCGCAGTGGTTCATGCCTATAATCCCAGCACTTTGGGAGGCCAAGGTGGGTGGATCATCTGAGGTCAAGAGTTTGAGACCAGCTTGGTCAATATGGCGAAACCCTGCCTCTACTAAAAATACAAAAATTAGCCAGGCGTGGTGGCAGGCACCTATAATCCCAGCTACCCAGGAGGCAGAGACACGAGAATCGCTTGAACCTGGGAGGTGGAGGTTGCAGTGAGCCAAGACTGTGCCACTGCACTGCAGCCTGGGCAATGGAGTGAGATGCTGTCTCAAAAATTAATTAATTAATTAACTAAATTAAATAAAAATATAAAAACAAAAAAACCATGAAGAGGACCGGACGTGGCAGTTCATGCCTGTAATCCCAGCACTTTGGAGGCCGAGGCGGGTGGATCACCTGAGGTCAGGAGTTCAAGACCAGCCAGGCCAATGTGGTGAAACCCCGTCTCTACTAAAAATACAAAAATTAGCCAGGCGTGGTGGTGGGTGCCTGTATTCCCAGCTACTCATGAGGCTGAGACAGGAGAATCGCTTGAAGCCGGCAGGCAGAGGTTGCCATGAGCCGAGATCGTGCCACTGTACTCCAGCCTGGGCCACAGAGCAAGTCTTTGTCTCAAAAACAAAAAACATGGAGAGTTTCAGGCCTGAGGCTTGGTTGTGCTAATTATCAGCTGTGTGGCTTTCTCAAGTTTCTAAATAACTTCCCATGTAGATTTATTCATTTGTAAAATGAAACATAGTAAAATCAACCCTAAGGAACTATTTTGAAGATGAAATATGGATACTGGACTATAGAGGTCACAATAGAAGGGGCTTCCTTCTGCTTTCGTCAAGGTTTATCTCCTTAATCAAGGTTTGCCCAAGGTACTGTAGGGTGTTTATGTCTCACTTCTTTGAGAAAGGAGCAGGGATTGTGAAGGCTGCAAAAGTCAGGATATGGTAGGTTACGCTGCAGTAACAACCCCAAGATCTCAGTTGCTTAACATAATGAAACTTTACTTTTGCTTGCAAACCATGTTCAGGATGGGTTTGGGTGGATAAACCCAGGCTGCTGGGGCTCCATCTCAATGGTGTGCTTCTACCCTCACACTCTGACTCGTAATACATCCTCTCAGAAGTAACATAGTTTACTTCCGCTTACACATTTTTGACCAAAGGAAGTCACGTGACCAAACTTAACTTCGAAGACGGTGAGGAAGTACAAACCTACATGTGACTGAAAGGAGAAAAGAACTGGAATACTTGTCATCAGGTCAAATGACTACCACAACCGTCATCCCAAAGAGCAAATGATTATCAAGCAATGACTATGTGCAGAGAACTATGAGATTGCTTAGAAGTTATAGAAAGTGTCTCAAGACTGATGCAACATCAAAACCTATCCCCAGCCAATCAGTACAATGGGCATTGTTGAAAGAGGTAACCCAAACATGAATGAATTAGTTAATTAGTGAATAAATGAGAGGTCTACATTTTCATAAAACCTAGCTCTCAGAATTGATGTTGTAAAATTAAATAAATGATATGTATACGTTGCTATGGTAAGCAGAATCATGCCCACTCCAAAGATGTTCACATCCTAATCCCCAGAACCTATGAATATGTCACCTTCATAGAAAAGCGGACTTTGCAGATGTGAAGGTAAGGATGTTGAGAAGGGGAAGTAACTATGCATTATCTGGGTGGGTTCAATATAATCACAAAGGTCCTTGTAAGAGGGAACCAGGAGTTTCAGAGTCAGAGAAGGGACGTGATAATGAAAGTAGAGGTCAGATGAATGGGAGAGCCACAAGCCAGGGATCTTGCTGGCCTCCAGAAACTGGAAAAGTCATGGAAACAAAGTCTCTCCTATTGATTTTAACCTAGCAAGACTCATGTTAGACTTCTGACCTCCAGAACTGTAAGAGAATACATTTCTGTTTTACATCACTAATTTCATGGTAATGTGTTATAGCAGCAGTAGGAAATGATACCATTTCTTACAAAGTATCTTGAACATACACGGAATAAATGGAATATCCCATTTCCTAGATGAGGAAACTGAGGCTAAGCCAATATATTGGTCATAAAGTAGAGAAACTAACAGAACATGCATTCAAGATCAGTGCTCTTTTCACAAAATCCTAGCTGACTCTAGTAGCCCTCAAAGTTCTTTTCACAGCCCGGGTGGAGAGCCCTGGGTGGTTGGCTGATGCAGCTTCTTGAGGACCCTCCTTTTCTCCTTCCAGGGAATCTGGCCATGCCTTGGTAGAGTGGCGAACCTGGTGATGGTAGATTCCAACCCTGGCTGTCGTTCTTGGCTAATCCGTGCCCAGTGCACCATTGCACTCACAGAGCCTGTTTCCCATCAGAAGAACTAGTCTTAGCAGACCTCCTTCCAGGAGCCCATGTGTGGATTGTGCTGGAAAAGCAATATGCATGTGACCTGATGCTCTTCCGGCAGCATTTGGACGCTCAGCAAATGCTCCCTTCCTCTCTTTCTGTGTGCCTGCTTCTGCCTCTTCCCAAGAAACTTATACCATAGCAACTTATACGTATAACTTATTTTAATTTTAAGAAAATAAAATCTCAGTTAAATGACTTCATATGTTCCCTTTCATATTCTACTTTTCTGTTTGTCTCAGTTCTGTCAAAATGTGTTTCCCATTTATGAAAGATAATTTATTTTAAATTTCAGAATTACTCAGATTTATTTTGACAAATCATTTCAGAGTTTAAGAGGATAAACCCAAAAATTGGCCGTGAGTTTTGGCCTCTTCTCTCCTTCTGATCTTTGGCAGTGCTCTGGGCTTGAACATTAAGGCTTCAGTTATGACTAAACAGAACAAGTTCCAGAAAATTCTGCCATCCTATTTTATACAGTCAGAGGCTTGTGTATTTAAAGGGTGAGGATTTGGTTTGGCTTTTCAGTATTCCATTTAGTAACTGATGCTTTAGGGGATTCACTTAAGCCTTTAGATTTTTATTCCTTTACTTGTAAAATAAGAATAAAATTTTTCCATCAATGTTTATGTAAAGAACCCAACGTTTATGTAAAGAACCTGTAAATAGGCTGGGTGCGGTGGCTTACACCTGTAATCCCAGTACTTTGGGAAGCTGAGGCGGGTAGATCACGAGGTCAGGAGATTGAGACCATCCTGGCTAACACGGTGAAACCCCGTTTCTACTAAAAATACAAAAAAATTAGCCAGGTGTGGTGGCGGGCACCTGTAGTCCCAGCTACTCGGGAGGCTGAGGCAGGAGAATGGCGTGTACCTGGGAGGCAGAGCTTGCTGTGAGCCGAGATCCGGCCACTGCACTCCAGCCTGGGCGACAGAGCAAGACTACGTCTCAAAAAAAAAAAAAAAAAAAAAAAAAACCTGTAAATGAACCAGGCACGGTGGCTCACACCTATAATCCCAGCACTTTGGGAGGCTGAGGTGGGCAGATCACGAGGTCAGGAGTTTGAGACCAGCCTGGCCAAAATGGTGAAACCCAGTCTTTACAAAAAAGACAAAAATTAGCCAGGCGTGGTGGTGGGTGCCTATTATCCCAGCTACTCATGAGGCTGAGGCAGGAGAATCACTTGAACCCTGGAGGCGGAGGTTGCAGTGAGCTGAGATCGCGCCACTGCACTCCAGCCTGGGCAACAGAGCAAGACTCCATCGTAAAAAAAAAAAAAGTCCTCTAAATGAAACAATGTGTGCAAAGTGCTTGGCAATTCTCAATGCACCTTAGCTACCAGTATCATCATAACATCACTATCATGTTACAATATTATTTATAAATTTTGTATACTTAAAGTATTGCTATGTTGTATTATATAGTATTACCATTATTATATATCTGTAAGTATTCATTAAAGAAATATATAATTATATATAGCTATTATAAAATATAGAGAATTATATATCATAATTTATTATTATAGCTATAAATCACTATATATATTATCTATATTTATCATGCTTTTTTTTTTGAGACACGGTCTCACTCTGTCACCCAGGATGGAATGCAGTGGTGAGATCTCGGCTCACTGCAACCTCCGCCTCCTGGGTTCAAGCGATTCTCCTGCCTCAGCCTCTGGAGTAGCTGGGATAACAGGCACATGCTACTATGCCTGGCTGATTTTTGTATTTTTAGTAGAGATGAGGTTTCCCCATGTTGGCCAGGCTGGTCTTGAACTCTTGACCTCAAGTGATCCACCTGCCTGGGCCTCCCAAGTGTTGGGAATACAGGTGTCAGGCACCGCACCGGCCTCTATTCTTCATAGATCACTTATAACCATCTATACAATACACACAATTACACTTACAGATTTTTCATTTTCATTATATAAATAACACAATGTAACTACAAAACTAAGCCTGGTAGATGTGTTCATGTGCAGGAGGACTGCTCCATTTCTCAGTCTTTTACAACCAGATCTTAGTATCATTCTGAATCATTCCCTGGAGTGTACAAATTATTTCTAATCATTGTCCTGTTCTCAGCTTTTGGACCATTTGACGCTGTTGACCTGCTTTTGGAAACCCTCAGTCTCCACCTCTTGGCTTCTGTCACACTGAATCTCCTGGTCTTCCGTCATCTTTCAGACATCTCCAGGCCTTTTGTGTCTTCTCTTCCTTGCCCTGTACTTGCCCTCACCTCAACATAGGCTACAATTCCTCCTCCCATAAAGGGCCTCTCCATTCAGTTTGATATCCATGACTTAGAGGCCCCATGTCTCTTTCAGGAACCCTAATCCTGCATAGACATCTTTGCACATAGAAGTCCAATTTATTAGATAAAAGCTTTCTCTGCTCAAAGCCTGCTGTGGCTCCCACTATCTCTAGAATAATACCCAAGCATCAGGCAGAAGAGGAAATATGTGAACACTGAGAGATGAATACATCAAGAAGCGAGCTGGAGAAGGGCTTTTCCATGTAGGAGTAGCACATGTGGCATGGTTTGGCTGTGACCCTACACAGAGCTCATCTTGAATTGTAATCCCCATAATCCCACGTGTCTAGGGAGAGACCTGGTGGGGGTGACTGGATCATGGGGGCAGTTTCCCCCATGCGGTTTTAGTGAGTGAGTTCTCGTGAGATATGATAGTTCTATAAAGGGCTCCTCTCCCTTCACTCCTCACTCTGCTCTCTCCTGCTGCCATGTGAGAAGGTCCAAGCTTGCTTCCCCTTCGCCTTCCGTGTGATTGTAAGTTTCCTGAGGCTTCCCCAGCCATGTGGAACTGTGAGTCAATTAAACCTCTTTCCTTTATAAATTACCCAATCTCAGGTTATTTCTTTATAGAAGTGTGAAAACAGACTAATACATCATGCAAAATCTGGGAACCCCAAAGCAGATGCTGCCTTTGGGAAATGGTGGCTTGGCTGGAGCCAGGAGCCAGAGGCAGAAAGCTGCAGGAGCAGTGAGAGATCAAACTGCAAGATAGGATGGTCATGCTAAGTTCATAGGCACTATGCCCAGGTCAGTAGGAAATGATGAAAGCTTTTTTCTTTTTTGTTTTGGAACCGGAGTCCTGCTCTGTTGCCCAGGCTGAAGTGCAGTGGCACGATCTCGGCTTACTGCAATCTCTGCCTCCCAGGTTCAAGTGATTCTCCTGCCTCAGCCTCCCGAGTAGCTGGGATTACAGGCGCCCACCACCACCACGCCTGGCTAATTGTTGTATTTTTAGTAGAGATGGGGTTTTTCCGTGTTGGCCAGGCTGGTTTCAAACTCCTGACCTCAGGTGATCCGCCTGCCTTGGCCTCCCAAAGTGCTGGGATTACAGGGGTGAGCCACCACCCCTGGCCTTGATGAAAGACTTTCAAGAAGAGAGTGTCAAGATCCAACTGGTACACATCTCAGAAAATGACAAGAACCCATAGACACGCAGACACTCAGTACAAACTTACTGAATTAAAGTGGTTTACCCAAAACTAAATCCATCTGGGAATCTCATGCACGCAAACATCATTGTTGCCACCACTACAAGGGCAGAATGCTGGCATGCCTGAAAAGATGGCTGTTACTCTTTTTGTTTCAGGATGGTACTTTCTTGGTCCGAGATTGTTCCACAAAATCCAAGGAAGAGCCCTATGTTTTGGTTGTGTTTCATGAGAACAAAGTCTACAATGTAAAAATCCGCTTCCTGGAGAGGAATCAGCAGTTTGCCCTGGGGACAGGACTCAGAGGAGATGAGGTGGGTATAACTTAACAGCTTCCCTGTTCCAGGCTAAGCCCAACAAATAAAGGAAGAGTTTGGGGGATGTCGTTCCGGAGGAGGAGGATGCTGCCCTGAAGAATGGGGATGTAGGCTGACGTCCCCACCCCTTCCACAAATATCTGCACATCTTACGCTTTGGCCTACCAGGCCAGCGGCCAGTTTTGACCATTTCATGCACCCCCGTTGCCTGCCTTGCCTATTAAAGAAAACTCATTCTACAAGACACATCTAAACTCTGCCTCCCAGGAAGCCTCCAGAGGAGCATACACTAATGCCAAATTCCTTTCCCTCCTCAGCACTGAAATGCCCACTGCAGACATTTCTGATGTCTGTCGGAATTCCTTAACTATAGATTTGTGTCCCCAAAATGAATGTGAAACCAGCCACAGCATACGGGCTATGTTGAGCATGCCTGTCCTCAGTACAGATCTGCTGATGGGGGCAAAAGAATGAATCAATTAAAATATTCGTGAATAACAGAAATCGATCCACAAGAAAGGGGAAATTTTCACTGAATATGTATATGCCAGGCCTAGTCTATCTGCATTATTATTATTATCATTTTGAGACAGAGTCAGACTGTCACCCAGGCTGGAGTACAGTGGCATGATCTCAGCTCACTGCAACCTCCTCCTCCCGGTTCAAGTGATTCTCCTGCCTCAGCTTCCCGAGTAGCCAGAATTACAGGCATGCACCACCAAACCCAGCTAATTTTTATATATTTTTTAGTAGACATGGGGTTTCACCATGTTGGTCAGGCTGGTCTCAAACTCCTGACTTCAGATGATCTGCCTGCCTCGGCCTCCCAAAGTGCTGGGATTACAGGCGTGAGCCACTGTGCCTCGCCAGCATTATCTTATTTTGATCCTCCACAACTCTTTGGAGTCATGATTTTTCCTATCTTAGATGTAGGAAAACTAAGGCTCAGAAAATTAAATAAATGGCCAAAGACACACAGGCAGTAACGGAAGAGGGAAGGAGAGGCTGTTCTTGTAACTCTTCTGTTGATGAAGGAAGGGGTAAAGGAAGGAAGGAACGAAGTCAATTATGAGCCACCATTTCTAAGGGTGTGAGCTCAGGCCGGTGACTTAACCTCCCTGGGCTTTAATTTCCTCAAATGTAAATGTTATTTTAAAGCCTAGACTTCAGTAATTTAGTGATTCCCATGTAGCATCTCCAGGTTGCAGTTTTATCTGTGGGTGTGCATTGTTAGGGGCTGAATCGTGCCTCCCTCACTCCAAAAAACCCACACGTTGAAGTCCTAACCCCCAGTAGCCCAGAATGTGACTGTATTTGAAGATAGGGCTTTGAAAGAGATAATTAAGGTTAAATGAGGTTATTGGGATGAGTCCTAATCCAATATGACTGATGTCCTTGTGACAAGAGGAGACACACACAGAGGGGCGACCATGTGAGGACACGGGGAAGGGACGACCATCTGCAAGCCAAGGAGAGAGGTCGTGGGAGAAAGCAGCCTTCCAACACCTTGGTCTTGGGACTTCAGCCTGGAGAACCGCGAAGAAAGACGTTTCTATTGTTTAAGCCCCCTCGTCTGTAGCGCTTAGTTACAGTAACCTTGACAAACGAATACAGGATAAAACCAGAACTTTCACACAGATACCGACTGTTTTTCAACAAGTAACAAAATAGGGCACATTGTTAGGGCTGCCAGCAGGCCTCAGGTAGGCACACGTGTGAAATCGACGTGCAGGCTGCATAAAGATTCCAGCTTAAATCCCGTGTCTGACCCAGAGCACTTTTTTGAGGCTCGGAGAGGAGTAGTTAGCACCTGTGAGGTGACCATGGGGTCAGTTCACCACTCTTTGCTATAGCCCGAGAACACTGTGACATGAACAAGTGCATAAGTGAATCCATAGATTAATACATAAATCTACCAGTTACAGTCACATTAAGAAAGTGCTATGTTAACACGAAAGAGAAAAGTGGCCAGTTCTTCATTTTGTGGAGAGGATTGACAAGTTAATAAATGTAAAACACTTAGTGCCTGCGACCTATCAAGGCCATGATAAATTTTAGTTATATTTTTGTCACTATTACTGAGTCATTTTAATAAGTAGGATATAGTCCCCCTAAGATACCTATGGTAATGGACTTTCCAACTCAATGTCCCTTGATCCTCCTATATCTTGTCTCAGCTCATAGAATTTCTCATCTTTAGGAAAGCATTATATAATTCTTATTTCTTTATTTATTTATTTTGAGACAGGGTCTTGTTCTTGTTGCCCAGGCTGGAGTGCAGTGGCATGATCTTGGCTCACCGCAACCTCTGCCTCCCTTGTTCAAGCCATTCTCCTGCCTCAGCCTCCCGAGTAGCTGGGATTACAGGCATGTGCCACCACACCTGGCTAATTTTGTATTTTTAGTAGAGATGGGGTTTCTCCATTTTGGTCAGGCTGGTCTGGAACTCCTGACCTCAGGTGATCCGCCCACCTTGGCCTCCCAAAGTGCTGGGATTACAGACATGAGCCACCGTGCCCGGCCAGGAAAGCATTATATAATTCTTAAATGCTTGGGTTTAAGGGGTTTTTTTCCTCTGAGAATAGAGGACGTGGACATGGTGTGCCTTTGCATGTGCCAGGCCCTTGGGCCAAATGCTGTTTAATTTGCTCTCACATGGAGTTCTTGAAAAAGCTCTGGAAAGGACATCTTAATGAACCTTATTTACTGGTGAGGAAACTGAGGCCTGAGATAGTTACAGCTTTTTTTCCCAACATGCCCTACTTTGGTCTGCTAATAAAGAAAAGGAAGTAGAGTGACTCTGTGATAATATCCTAATAGCTTAATCAGACTGTCAGCCGGTTCACTGACTGTCTCGGCAAATAAGGAGCATCTCCTATGGCAGGCCATAGATTAGACCCTCCGCCTCCAGATGAGCTGCTCTAATTACTGTCACCAAGGAACCCTGAGAGAACCAAATGTCTGTTTTAAGAAGCTCCTTTCTGTGTTCATCTGGAATTTTCTCCTCCTTTGCATTCCCTGTTTTTCCCATATGTGTTGAACATACATTTCCACAGGTGAAAGGATGAATCAATGAAAGCATTCACTAATAATATAAATATATATACATAAATCAAGCAATGAGAAAGAAATCCAAGGCAGAATCCTGAGTTTTGGTGGGGTTTTATATGCACTAGAGCTATTCTGTGCAGTTAGCCATTAATAACTAATGTGATCTATTGAATCCTCATAGCCAACCTCTGGGGTAGGTGCTGTCAATATTTCAATTTAACAAACTGTGACACTGAGGCACAGAAATGCTAAGTATCCGGCCCAAAGTCACAGCTAGTAAATGGCGATTCTGGGATGCAGTATGTTTTGCAAAACATTGACTTCCATTACCAGTTGAAGGTATGCAGATTCTTGGCGTCTTGAGCCAAAAATTGGCAAAACACACAAACAAAGCAAGCAAAGAATGAAGCAACAAAAACAGAGATTTATTGAAAATGGAAGTGCACTCCACAGGATGGGAGTGGCCCAGGCACAGGGGCTCGAGCACCCTTACAGAATTTCCTGCGGTTTAAATATCTGCTAGAGGTTTCCATTGGTTACTTGGTGTTCATCCTATGTAAACGAAGAGGATAAAGTAAAGTTACAGTCATTTACTCAGTGTAGGCCCTATGTAAATAGAAAGGATATATCCTGTCACAACTGAAGTGTTTCCATTTGATTTGGTTCTAGGAAGTCCTTAGATTCCCTGCCTCCAGGCCCTATTCTCATGTCTCGCTTCCATAGACAGACTCAAATAACACTGTGGCAAATACAAGTAATCACCCACCCGTTTGAAAACACTGCAGGTTGAATCACAGTTAAAGAACAGTTAACACTTACTTGGAGCTTACTGTGTGCCAGGGAGTGGGTAAAAAATGACAATTCACAGGTGGTTTCTTCCTGCCTTCCCTCTGAGGGAGATGTGTAAGAGAAAGAGGGTCTGGATTTTACTCAGTTCCCTCATGCTTTTCACAGCCTGAGCCTTTTGTCTTGCTGAGGAAGAATCACACCTCTTTAAAACAAGATTAGCAAGACTCTGCTAAATGCAAGCCAACAACTAGCTACTTTAGCCAGGGTCCAATTAAAGAAAGCATCTTCACCCAACTCAGCAGGAAAAACATGAGAAACAGCATCTTCAAAGATTACTTTAATTTCATGTCGTTTTGTAGCTATCTTGCCGCTTTTGAATTTAACCACACAGATGATGCAGCAATGCCTAACTCTTGGGAGTTATTTTGAGTGTGACATGAGTTGATGTAAGTAGTGGCAGACACATAGAGGCAGGTGCTTAATAAGTACCACTTCCCCAGAAACTTCGCGGTTTAAAACAACTGAAATGTATTGTTTCACAGTGCTGGAGGACAGAAGTCCAACATCATGGTATCAGCAGGGCCACACTCCTTCCGGAGACTCCAGGGGAGAGTCACCCTGACCTCTTCCAGCTTTCCGCAGCTGCCAGCAATCCTTGTCTTCCTTGATTTATGGCCATGTCACTCCAGTCTCAGCCTCTATGGTCACATGACCTTCTCCTCTCTACGGTCACGTGACCCTCTCCTCCTCCTCTCTATGGTCACGTGACCTTCTCTTCTCTGATCAAAATCTCCCACTGCTCCTACCTTATGAAGAAATACATGATTGCTTTTAGGGCCTACTGGGATAACCTCGGATAAGCACCCCCTCTCAGGATCCTTAACTTTATCCTGTATTATACCATATAAAATAGTATCAACTCTTTTATAATGTAAGGTCATATTCTAGATTCTGGGATTAGGACACGGACATATTGGGGAGAATCATTCAGCACCCGCTGCTCATTTACTTATTTATTGTCCGAGCATTAATTGTAGGCCTACAGTATGTTAGACTCAGTGTTGCATTCTGGGAACACAGAAAGAGTCATGTCAAGTCCCTGCCATCCAGAGAATACCCTGTTCATCTGTGCCAATCTCCGTAGGCACCTAAGCAAG